TCAGACAAGTTATTAGAATAAGAGAGTACAGCAAAGTTGCTGGATACAAACGCAACTTGTGAAAATCAACAGCATACCCCGATCCTAGCAAAAGTCACTAGAAAACATAATAGAGATTAACATACCATGCTTAAAATCTACAACTATAAAGTACCTAGAAATCCATACACAAACAATACCTTTACAGAGGAAATTTAAAAGCTTTACTAGAAGACATGAAAGAGGATTTAAATAAATGAAGAGATATACCATGAATGAGGTAGTTTAACGTTAAAGATTCCATTCTTTGTAAACTACAAATTAAATTCAATCCTAATAAATATTTCAGCTAGATTTTTTGAATGGAACTTGAAGATTTTATTCTAAAATTTATTTAGAAGAGTAACAATTCACGATTAGTTGAGTGAACATGGAGGAACAAAGAGGGAGACTCTGCCTACTAAATATTAAGGGAGACTATAAGTCTATACTGGTATGGAAATAAAAAGAACAATGGAATGGAACTGAGCTCAGAATAGACCATTGCATATATGAGTATTTGACATATGATAAAAATGGCACCAAAAATTAATGGGAGAAATACTGACTTACTAAATGGTGCTGGGAAAAAACTGGCCCACTAAATGAAGAAAAATAAAGCTGGACCCCTACATTATACAAGGTATAATGGACAACAGAAGGATTCTAAATGAAAAACCGAATATTCAAAGGAATGTAGGAGGATATCTTTGTGATCTAGGGGAAGGGAAATATTTCATAACAAACCCCTCAAAACATAAATTAGACAAAAATTGACCATTAAAAAGGGTTTTCTGGTCAATAATGGATGGCATAGGCAAAGTTAAAAAGACAGGTAATAGACTAAAATATCTGACATATCTGAAACTGTTAAGAGATTATTATCACAACAAAAAGATGAAAATGCAACAGAATGAGAAGAGATGAACAGGCAATTCGCAGACTACCTATAGCTTTTCTCATGGTAATAAGGAACTGGAGACACCCTAGGTATCCACCTCTAGGAGGACGGATATGCAGAAAGTGGTGGACGCATCATATGAAATACTATGCAACACGTAGGATGTACAGAGAGCAACATGGACCAATATAAGTGAGAAAAGAGCACAATTTATAGCACAGGACCGTTTATATAAATTAAAATTGCATACACACAAAATAACACTACAAGTTACAGAAGAAAGCATGCATAACAAGGGGCACATATTAAAAGAGTAAGGGTGGGTACCTTTGGGACAGAGGGAATGGGGACTAAGGAAGGAAGGAGAAACCTAATTTATAATAAAACGAGGGAATGAGATCTTGTATTAAGTGATGAAAACCACGTGCTATGGATTGAGGCACATGATTAGCGCACTGCTTTGCATTTGAGGTACAATAAAGCAGAAGTAAACTATATACAACACATACTAACATACAGTTTGGAAATGCAGCAGCCAATTGGCTATGAAGGGAGAGGCAGTAGTTGTCAGAGGGCTACCTGTGAAACCTGACACTTCGAATGCCAGGGCAGAGACAGATGGCTGGCTCTTGGTGACACTGAATCAGTCGATAAAGCTTCACCTAAACTAGGTTTACCTCTAGACGGCTCACTTACATGAATCGAAAGATTCCCTTAACTGTTTTGTTTAACAGACTTCATTTTTAGAGCAGTCTTCCTTTACGTTTTATGCCAGGGGTTTGACACCTGCAATGAAAGAATTTTAACTGATACTTATCCACTCCTGTACTTTTAAATATATATATATATTTCTTAAGATTTTTTTAAAACACTGGTTTCACTTCTATATTTGGGGAAATTAGGAGAGCAAGAGGAAGCACGAATTTAAGAAGAAAAAGGCAGAAAAGAGACAGAATAATAGTAGCCACCATTCATTAGCTCTTCTTATGTGCTAGGCACTATGCTAGGTGCTTTCCATATCTTGTCTCTAATTCAACAACAAACCCCACCACTGGAAATTATCCCTGCAGAAATGAGGAAACAGGCTGAAAGGAGATCCACATCTTGTCTAAAGTGCCACAGCTTCATAATGGGGACCTGAGAACCCAAGTCTGTTTAATGTCAGCCTGTTCTGCATGCCGTGTCACCCTACTAGAAAAACGATAGTGGGAAATAGTGGAAGGTCGACACAGGGACACAGAAGAGGTAACTATACACAGAGACAGAGAAAACAAGCCATGTCAAGGCACATACTGATGAGGAAGAGCAATCTTACTAGATGACACCTGCATCAGAAGGGCTGTCACTGTCCTTTGAAAAGCTCACGATCCCACCTGCAAGCTAACGCAACCCTTCGTGCACCTAGAAGCAGTTCCTTTACTTCCAATTTTCAAAACTGTTTTAGAAAATATTTATTTTCTCAAGTATTCCTCAAAGCTTTACATGGATATGAAGCGATGCCACAGGTTCCAGACACCAACTTTCAGATCTGGAATGTTAGTCACTATCATCCATCACAAAACGAACTTTTGACTGTTGGTTTGACATGCAAATACCTACAGGATATCACAGTGTAACCTGTGATAGTTACCTAACTGCCCATTAATGGATACAATAAATTATGGTACTATAACTATGGAATACTATGAGCTGTCAAAAAGTACAAGACAGACCTCTATGTACTGTGTGGAATAATCTCCAAGATAATAGAGAAAAAAATGCTAGGTATGGGAGAGCAGATATGTACACTAAATTTATGGTCAAAGGTCAGATGCATATTTATACTTTTAACTGGAGAAATTGGTAGCAGTGGTTGGTCTGAGGGAGGAAAATGGAGCCACGGGTAGGAAAGATGCTTTGTGTTCACTGCATAATCATGTATTTGGTACTTTTTTTCTTGTTAACTAAGTGCAAGAATAATCTTCCAGAAAAATCTTTACTTTAAATCAAGCAGTTCGGGTGTCTTCCTTCTAAGCCAGATCCAATTCTGGGATCTAGCAGGGTCTGACTGGAAGAAATAAATTATTTTCTTTTCCCTCTCCCAGTGATGAGACAGCAAGAGGCTCCTTCCCATTTCTTTCCCCTTTTCCTCAACTAAGTCCACCTACTGTTTCTTAAAAAAAACCCCAAACCAAAAAACTTGCTCACGTTATCCATGTTCATTGAAAATACATTTAAGTAAAATGATAAAGATAAAAGCATTCATTTCACCAATCTTTGTATTTTGGCGTGTATGTCCCTCCATATATTTTTTTCTGTGCCTATCTATGTGCATTAACACTTATAACTGCTCTTTTATTTAATACATGGACATCTTAATCATTTCTTCTGTTAAAACAATTTTGTTTAGTAGTAGTATTTTTATTTACTTAACCAATCCCCTCTAGCACGTTAGATTGGTTCAAACTTTTACTGTTATGAGCAACACAGATGAACACACTCGTACAGAAACCTTTGTACAAGGCCATTTTCCCCTTAGAATAAATTTGCAGAAGCAAAGTAGCTCCATCACCAATTTGTTAACTTCCGCCTTCGAGCTCCATCTACAGTTGTCGATTTTCGTAACTAGCCACACTCTTTTCTGTGCCAAAGCTAAGGTCTGAGACGGTTTCTTGACTACACAGACAAGTGTAAAACGTACTTCCTGCTTTGGAGTTTTCTATACTCCTTTGAACCAGCCCCCCTTCTGGACACCCGTCCTTCATTCAAGTCTAGAGAACTGGTTGCATTTCTCTACCTGCTTACTTCTCGGCTCTCTAAACTGACTTGGTTATTCTGAAATCCTTAACTCCTTGGGCCATGTTTTTTCTTCTTAAAAACTTAAAAAATATATATACTATATAATAAATAATAAAACAGAATTAGTATGAATGATAATAAAAGCTAACATTTAACCTAGTACTTACTATGTGTCATTGGGCTAAGTGCTTCACATGCCTTATATAATTTAATGTTAATTGAAGTTACATGAAGAAAAGTATTTCATGGTCAAATAAGCTTCAGGAAATTATGGGTTTAAAAAATCTGGTTTAACAATGGCACCTTTAATATGTTAACACACATTTACAAGATGGTGACAACATAGTTAAGTGTAGTCTTATTATTTAACTACAGATTTCTTGTTACTCTCAAGAACACACTTGCAAAACTGTCCTTAAATGTTACTAGTTTTTCATAAAAGCACTTGCAGCCTACCCTCCTCCCTGCATGAGGACCATGCCTTTTAAATTCTTCATCCTGATGACAATACACTGAAAATACACTTAAGTACCACCACTCTTGTATTTGGGGGCTTACGTTATTTTCTGTATCTTCTATGCACATATACACTTATAAATGACAAAACCGTTCAATTTCTCTGACAAGTTGCTTTCTATCTTTTCATCCTTTTCCCACACTCTACCTGGATTTCTAAGGTTGAATTTTAAATTTTTTCTCTTAACAATATTTTTCCTAAAGAAGTCCTCCACAAGACTAAAAGATGCTCACCTATGCAACTAATTCCTGTATCTACAACTGCAAGCCTTGATCCTGGAGGCACACTCACACACACACACACACCCTATAACCTGAAGGAAGAACCTGGTAAGCCTGCATTCCAGACTCCCACAGTCTGGCTTCTCCTACTCACCCCCGTGTCTACCTCATACCAGCCTGGCCTCCTTCCTGTTTGTTCCTGACTCCACTCAGGATGCTCCCTTTTCCTCCTTCCCAGCCAAATCCCACTTATTCTTGGAGGCCCAGTTCAAATGCCATCAACTTGACAATTCTCCCCAGATCTTTCCAATCCAATCTCTCCCCTGCTCTGAACTCAAATGTCAGATGGCCATGGACCACACCTTTGTGATAAATTTTGAACTGTTGTCTTTTTACTTCTCATGTGATTGCAAACTGTAAATATATGGAGGGTGGGGACTATGCCCTTACTTCTGTATCCCACAGCACCGAGCACAGTGTGAAACCGGCAAGAGATACTCAACCACCACTGAAAGAATGAGATATTAAAATCCAAGTTAGTCCAATGATACAACAGACACAAGAATAATATGTACATTCCTCTTTATTTAATACAACAAACACATAACACGTACAAAAAGAAAAAACACTCATGTAAAAGGCCCTGTCACAAAGGATAGACAGGAAAACATCTACACTGAATCAAATAAGGCTCCTGCTTTAAAACAGGGGTTTGCTTAGCTACACCTGGAATATGAGCAAGGCTGTTACGAAAAAAAAAAAAAGAAATCCCTGCACTGAAAGAGTATATCAATGGGGTCAATTTACTAAATTCACAGATCCACATTTAGGAATGTTCAAGTCCTCTCACATGTCCAAAATTCATCAGGATTTTATGAAATGTGATTTTTTTTTGGTTACAAAAATTTACCTGTCTTTCTTTCTTCTTAGAAAATAGTAACAAGAGCTCTTTAAAAACTACAGACCAGCAAACCACCCAAAGTTCGGAAAGATTTACCACTGAAGTTCAAAAAGTGTGTAGAACTGAGAATTCAAAGGCAAGATGGCAGTGGGAAGAAGAATTTAACTTAGTCATTTCCTGGTCAATCACTAGGAAATGCAATGGAAACAGCTAGGCTCAGTGCAGGGTTCAGTAGCAGCAGTTTGTCCATATTCCTGCTCTCATTAGAGCCGGAAATTAAACAAGCACCAGTTCATCTCAAAAGAGCCTTATACAAACACACACACATACATACCCACACCCATCCACATGTCGTCACCACCCCATTGTATTTAAATTTATTATTTTTTTTTTTACTAAAATAATACAAAAAAGGGAGACAGGTATATTTACAAAAATCCATGGCTGGTACAGTACATAATTTTTAAGACACACTAAATGCTACAATCTTTCAGGTCCTGAGATTATTACAAATATCAACTCAAAGCTGTGTTCAGGTCCAGTTTTAAAGGAGGAAAAAAAATCCCAAAATATTAAGTCACACACTTTTAAAATACAGTATATCCCTTCAAGTTAGCAAAAACACACCTCCCTATAAACAAATGCAGTACAGTAACCAGGGCCTTTCACCCGGAGGAGCAACAATTATGTAGGCTCCTTCCTTCAAGACTCGTTGTAAAACATGTTGGCATCTATATCAAGTGTGGAGGCGGCTAAAGTAAGAACATGATGTGTAACTGGAGGGAAGCTCCTCTACAGAGTGAACATTCACTGTATAAATAAGTCCTGTTTTTCCTTCTGTTACCAAACAAAAGTCTTTCCTTTATGAAAATTCATACCGCAAGGGTTGGAAATATGTGCTTAACCCAGACTAAAAATCAGAATCCTTATTTCCAATCATTTATAGTAAATAGGCCTGCAGTCCCACAATAAGTTTTACAACTGCAAATAAATTTTCCTGCTTGTAATAAAAGAGAAAACACTCATCACTTGGTTACCGTGGTAGATAACTTTGATTAACACATTATTTGGGGCACAAAATTTTCACCAGCCAGAGATTTCCTTTCCTTTTCTTTTAAGCTTTACAGTGTTTAGCAAGCAACAAACAAGGACAAGCTCCAGATTTACATACTCTTCTTAAGAACAATTAGATATTTTTGATACATTCTATAATATAGTTTTTCAATGACAGCCAACAAAAGAACAGTACAAAGCTTGAATCCTTTCTCTGGAGGCTGGCCAGGAAATTACGTATAGGTTGGAAACCTACCTCTACTGGTGAAAGGGCCCCTTGCTTATCTGAAGGTCTCAGAAGGTATATGTAATTAATTATGTAACATAGCCAGGATTTTAAAAGTTGGCCAAACTTGGTCAACTTTCTGACTACCTATATAAAACAGTAATACATTTATCAACTGAGAATAACTTCTCTTTTAATGCCTCTGGACAAAATTGGGGTAATTCTTGGTAATTTCACAGGTACAGGAAAGAAAACCCAATATGCGGGCACAGGGCACACTACCCCTGCAAACAGAATAGAGAAGCAAAAAAAGGAGGGAAGTTTGTGGCCGCAAGGACAGAAAATATAATATAGCTGAGATGTGACAAATAAAGGGCAGGTTGTCACATAGAGAAACATGCCACTTGGCTGGTCTTGGTTACTGCTGACTCCTAAATGTGCTTAGAGGGTAGATGGAGCTGTTAACTTCAAAAACAGAAGTATCTCCAAGTTATCTTAGGTAATAATCATCTTGTTTGTATTTCAATTAGGTTTCCATTAGTGCTTTATTACAAAATATTTTAAAACTAGATTAAAATAGAATTATATTATTATTGGCAAATGGGAGTAAATAATGTATAGAGAGTTTTCTGAGGAACATAAAATTGGTACTAAGGATTCATATGGCCTCTCTGACTCAGACCTTTGCGAAGTAGGTTTATTCCAGGGGAAGTAATGAAAATAAGCAAGGCAGAGTATTATGTGAAATAAGAGGCCTAAAAAAGGTCTGTGTCTCTTCTGAATAATCTTGAAAAGTATTGAGGAAGCCATGCAATGTAGCTGCTACTACATTATATAGTAGAGAAATCTATTTTTAACACAAAGAAGAGAAAAATAATTCAGGTCACCAGTGATGACTCTAAGTTCTGGACATATAGACCCCTTTGATTTTACTACTGAGATTTTTAAAAGTATTCTTGACCTGTTTGGGTAACAGTTCGGAAAAGTGTCCAAAATTTAAGTACTAACCCGATGTAAAATGTACATGTGTAAGAAAGGCTGGAAAAAAGAAGTATTACAGTATGAGGAAATTAAACAAAGATCACAGTTACTTTCAAGCAAACGGTACTTTGGGAGTATCTGAGAAAAATGTAATTTAATACTAAGTTATTCAAAAGCAGTCTGATTAAAATCCTACCAGTCCCTGTCTGAGTCTGTGCTGGGATGTAAACCGTCTCCTAGAAATGCCTATAGTCTTTACTTTTGAATTCAGTGGGAACACAGCATAGATGGCCAACGTGAGTGAGAAAAGGAGGTGAAAGACAGTTTAACCTTTCCTCCCCTGACTCTTAGCAACTTACATTCTAGTGTAGCAATTGGTTGATGGAATGGTTAACTGAAGAGCTCAGACTAGAGGAAAGAAGAATGAAGACTAAAGAAAATGAAGAAAGAATTTGACATTAATATTCAAAGCTTTTTAATTATAGTCTGACCATCTGTTTAGCTCCACAAACCTGAACACTGTGCCACAGAATCTAAAACTTTCTCAGAATTGAACACTGGGATGGTTTTATCTTAACAACCCAAAGACATTCCATGATTCTAACTACAGTTTGCACCAGTATCTGAACTTAGTTTTTGAATATAAAGTTCACATTTTAGGATAGATGAACACACAAAATATCTCTATTTTTATGTTTCCATTAATTTTCCCTAGAGGAACAAACACACATTCAACAAAACCCTTATGCCTTATTTCTTTGGGTAGAAGTCTTAATTAACATCTGTCATTTAAAGAATGGAAAAAAGAAAACGTGTGGAAAATTTGTGTGTTTATCTGCATAGTTGATATTTAGAGGCTACTAACTAAGGCTTTATCTGGAAAAAGCAACAAAAAAACCAAAAAGTGACTTTTAAGGAAAAACATCCTATCACTAGAGATTAAATGGGCCTCAGCTAGTTCTGGGAATTAACCCAGAGGCTTTGTCTGCTTGGGCCTGGCGCTTTCTGCTGACTCACTTACACTGGATAATTTGTTCCTCATCCCCCTACATTCTCTTTCCTGACCCTGAATATGTGCTACAATTTAAATCTACACACACCCCCTAACAAATGTTGCTAAGCAATTAGCTCAGAGAGGCGGCATCCATTTTTTCCTGTTGTTGTTGTTTCCAATGATAAAAGGAAAATTCTATGTATTACTGCTTAATATACCCAGTGGAGGGTAGGATAAGATGACCTTCCTTTCCTCTTTGGAGTTGAGCAAAACATGTTTCCTTCTACCCCCACCATCCCCACCCATAGGAAAAGAATCCTGCCTCCCCCCTCTCCCATTTTCCTACCACCTGAGCAGTTGATGGCTCCAACTCTTTCACGGTTGAAGAAGCATAAATTACAAAGGTAGACTGGCTAAAAGTACACCCAGCTGACTGTATGTAGTGCTTGCCCCTTCAGTGCAAAGCTGGATAAACCTATAGTTACAGCAAGAGTACACAATCTCGATTTACAAGAAGGAGGAGACTCCCATTCATTCTTAGAAAGTTAAAAGTTTAGCTATCCATCACTAAACAAGTAATATAAGGAAATCAGAATGAGAATATGGCAAAGTGAGGCAGATAAAATGTTTGGGATCATTAATCAACTCCAATAACCAATCGTCCAAGCTTTAGCTAGCTTCAGCTCCACAACCTTGGCAAAGATCACACGTGTAATAATACCATAAATGGCTAAAAAAAATCTACTTATAATTAAGAAACTTAGTGTTATTTACCCCCTCCCCACTTATTAACCTGAAACTAAGCATTTTATCCAACCACAAATATAATATGTTTAAATAACAAATATGTATCTAAATTAGAATTCCAGTGATTTTTTTTTTAAACTTAAAAATCATATGGTACTTTTTTATACCCATCATAGGGAAACATTTTTTAGCCTCTGCAGGAAAATGATAATACTTTTTTAATTATATAGGACATTTTAGAAAAACTCAAAATATTTTTGAAAAAGTCTCTGATATCCCTGGGAGGTAGGTGAATATTATTATACCCAATTTTCTAATGGGTAATCTGAGGCACAAAGGTTAAATGATATTCCCCCTAAACACAGTAATTCAAGAGTAACATGACTGAACTGAGGCCACCTGATAACAGTCTTGCTATCAGGTAACACCACCAGGAGCCCCTGCTTTCTCCTTTTTGGCCACCAGTCTCCTCAGTTAAAATGTAGTTAAAAGGGGGCATTTATTAGATATATCTGTACTGGGCTTTGAGGATTGGTTCAATTTAGTCTCCCTTAACACGTCACATCTGTTTTCAACAAGAAACTGATGAATATTAGCTATCGAATATTATGTTATTTTGCTCAAGGGAGAAACATAAATGACCGTTAAATCGTATTAAGCCAAATGTAATTATTTGGCAAATAAGAAAACTGAAGCTCTCTCAAGAATGCTATGGGTTATATGAGTGTTTTTCCTCAGAATCTGAAGTCTTTCTACTTCTATTTATTAACCTTTTGACAGATATGCAGCTATATGAATTCTTCAAAAATTATTTCCCAGAAGAATACATGATGCATTTTTAATATTGACAAAGTTGCTAACTTCCTTCAAAACTCAGAAACAATACCATGGTTCTAACTCTAGCTCTCCCATGTCTTTAGTCTTGCCTGCCGTTGTGTACCTTATCAACTTGACCCAGAAAGACTCTAAGATTCTTGTTATTCCAATGCTTTCTCTAGTCTTATGCACGCCAAGTTTGAAGGGCAGAGTAGTGGATTACATCCAGGAACAGTCAGTGAGTCCGCTAAATTTATTTTACTTGTAACAACTGACTTATTTTATTTAGATCTATATCTATATATCTATATCTATATATATATCTATATCTATATATATAGTTATAGTTGTTGTTGCTGTTGACGTCTACAAACAGATATTCAAAGGGGGAAAATAGTATCTTGTAAAAAGACAATTTCCCAATCTATCCATTTGAATTGACTAAAAGCAATGGAATAAACAAGGCAGTTTTGCAAGCATTAATAGGGGAGTGCTTAGAAAGGATGCAATGGTACAGCAGCTACTAGTTTTGTATATATATTACATATGTATACATATATATACAGATATATATATGTATGCATGTATGTATGTATCTTACACATATATCCATATTCATATAAGGAAAAGGAAGAATATTACAGCATGACATGATCTTGGCAAGTTTTGAGATTCTTCCTCCTGAATCCCCTGACGTATTAGCCTGTACTTTAGGATATCTGAGAACAGTTTCAAAAGAAGGGAAAAAAGAAAGAAAAAAAAGGCACTTAACAAAGACAAAGGCCTGAACTGAGTATGTTTTAGAGGAGTAATATAAGCCATTTTACCAGAGCTAAGAAACGATCTACAGAGTTAAACCTTTCCCCTTAAATTTTATAAAATAAAATTGTTTAACATGTTTGTAACCAGTCATTTACCTACTACTGCATTTTTCTTCCACATCATTATTACAAAAACAAAAGCCCCCTAAAAGCAAAAACAAAAACAAACAAAAAACCAATCATACATGCACAATAGAAAGTAAAAGTGCCCTTTTGAGAACATAAGGTCAGCAGAAACTACAGTGCTGAAGCATGGGGCAAGTTCTCAATTTTGGCCTGATTACAGATTTCTCTCACTCTTCTAATTTAAAACAAGACAAAACAAACATCAACGAACACAAAAAGCAAACAAAAATTCAAAACCTAAATGATGATAAAAAGAATACAGGGACCAGTGTGCTTTTATGGTACACCCCTAAAATAAAGTATCCTAATTCTATACATGGGTCAAATTATATGACAAAACCTCCTAAAAGTAAAGAACTGTAAATTAGATTAAAGTTGACCATTACAGGCAAAGTTCATTTTACAAATGTAGCAGCAAATCTGATAGATAACTGGAGTGCTAAGAGATGATCCCAAGGGACACAGCGTTCTCATAATCAATGGCAGTTTGAATAACAGTAGAATTCCATTTCAGAAAATGTCTTGAACCAAGTAGAGGTGGAAAGGGGTGTGGTAGAGGGCAACGAGAGGAGAAAGATTAGAGGTGTCTGCCCTTTCCAAACCTGGGTAGTAAACAATTTAGATCTGCTTTGGGAAAAAAAAAATCCTGGGTTAAAAATCTTTTCAGATAAGTTGTTTTCAAACAGGTGTCAAACCCACAGCATTCAAACATGTGTGTGCCCGGTTCTTCCTCCTACCTGGGTGATATGATAAACCCTATTCAGCTTCTCTGATATTAAAAAATGTAATTTGGGCTAACAGCATCCATCAAAGGGGTGGTAGGCATAAAAGAATGTACTAACACAATCCTCTGATTCCCTCAATATCAAGATTTTGTGACTTCAGATTAACCTCACTTCTTTCCCCAAAACTTAATTTCTTCAGGCTGCTTTAAAATCATGATTTCTTTTACCCACTGATCTCAGAAGCATATGAGAAAGAATTATAGTCGACTTATAACTAAATTATTGCTTACATCTATTGTGGAGGCTCTGAATGAGCTTGACACTTTGCTCTCAGTCTCCAACGGAGGCTCAGCACTGCTATCTCTGGAGACAACTCTGCTGACCATTCATTATTGCTCGTGAATACTGAGGATTAACTTGTATGTACAGTAACAGCTTATACATCAGTGAAGGCAATTTAAAATACAAGACAGTTGAAAACAGCTTACTTTTCCTGAATCAAGAAATCCCGCTGAAATGGGACATAATTGTGTGCTGATTACTTTTACATTGGGGTGTTGCTAATGCTCTTCAGAAATACACATTGCTCTATATCCTTTCCAAATTACTCATCATTTTAAAAAATAACATAATTTGACTTTCAAGTGCAAAAATAGAATATGAGTCACAAGCCTCTGTGCTAAAAAATAACCGATTTGTATGTATGATTTTAGTAAGACAAACTGTAAAAATAGGTGACTGTACAGTATGGACACCATTTTCAATGTTATGGCCTAGAAAAGAAAGAGGTATTTACATGTAGTAACTCTTTGATCATACTTTTTAAGAAATATAAGGATGTTGGTTTCACTTGTACAACAGAAAAGGGTAGTCTTGATTGGAGTGGATTAAGGTAGTGAAAATGTGGTGCAGTGACGCAGAATCAAGACCGAAGAGAAAAGAACAGAATCTCCACGTATGAGAACTCCACAGAGCCAAGGGCCTTCAGTTATTTTTACCGGTTAGTTATAAACGATACTGGGGAAGAACTGATAATCCTGTTCTTCTCTAATGAGGACAGAGTCATCAGGGATCTTCACATGGCGTGATTCAGTTCATGGATTTAAGAAATTAAAGTTGTTACTCCTCAACCGAAAGTCCCAATGAACTTATGTATAGATAAATATATGTGTACAGATATACACACGCAGATGAATACATGCACAACTGTCCTCAGGAAGAGAGATCAGTGTGCATTCTGACTTCTCTCCTGGTACGGGAAGGAAAACAAAGGCAGCTTCCCAAAGGAAAGTTCCTATAGATTAGCAAGACTTCTTTTTTCTAAATTATAAAAGCAAGAGGTATGCTACACTGGAACAACTCAAGAATTGGGTAAGTTTCCCTAGTTAAAAAACCAAACAAACTTTAATCAAACATACTCAATTCAAGTCAAACCTATCTGCACCATCCCAATATCCTTCCAAAATATCCACCAGGGTTGATACAACATTCTTATTTGCTTTACCGGTAAACTAAATTCTTAGAGGCAAGTAATTATATCAATGATTCCTTTGAAATAATCCTTTCCTCTTACTGTAACAAGTTCTTAGAACTAAAGTTTTCAGTTATTAACTTTTTTTTTTTTGCTATAACCAAGCCAATGTGACTCTGAAGTCAAAATATAGGCTTACAGATCTAAAGAGATCTGTGCTAATTTATTCACAGTCCTAAAGCTATTTGGAACTTCTGCTCATGAAAGTAAAAAAAGGGCCTGGTTAATACCCTTATCTGAGTAAACGTAACAGGATGATTTGTAATGAAAACATATGCAAGGAATCTTGCTACTACCAATCTGATGCTGGTTTTTTTAGGTTAGTCTGTTATTGTTAATGGATCAAGCTTACACTATTCTTGAGTACAGTCTGAAAACATTCAGAAGCCTAAATAGGAAGGAAAAAAGAGAGACTAGAACAATGATGAGGTGAAAAAAAACCCAAACAAAATGTATCCAAACATAACCATAAATTTCTCCCTTGGGGCTTCCCTCGTGGTGCAGTGGTTGAGAGTCCGCCTGCCGATGCAGGGGACACGGGTTCGTGCCCCGGTCCGGGAGGGTCCCACATGCCGCAGAGCGGCTGGGCCCGTGAGCCATGGCCGTTGAGCCTGCGCGTCGGGAGCCTCTGCTCCGCAACGGGAGGGGCCACAACGGTGAGGGGCTCACATACCGCAAAAAAAAAAAAAAAAAAAACTCCCTTAACGTCCTTTGTTGAATATGCTATTTGCATGAGGAAGCTGTAATAATGGAGTCTTATTATATGCAGGTTTACTCACATATCAATACTCTGAGTAAATATTAGTAAAGCTTTAAAATCCCAAATGCTCCAAATCAATTTCACTACACTGGATATAGGGAGTAAAAATACACTATGATTGTTATAAAAATAATCCCCTGTACACATAATGATCCTAATTTAATTCTTCCCTTTAAAATACCATCTTCAAAATTCAAAAAAAAATACATATATGCCATTTGAATGACCAATGAAGAAGCATTGTAATGCACACTTATACCTGTTTATATCAACAGTTAATAATCACCTGAAATACCACTAGCTAAAAGAACAGAAGACGTTGTGAACCTGAGGTGATGTTGGGGGAAATTTAAAGTTCATACTGGCAGGCCTGCAAAGGCTAAGTGGACCAAAGCCACAGCCCTATATCAAAGATCCCCATTTTTCAAGAGGAAAATGTGAACACAGTCACGTTTTAACACCAAGAATGGAAATAAGAATTAACCAGTCAATACCAGATGCACAAATCACCTGAAGAAGAGAGTTAAGTACCTGCTTCTGAATGGAAGATGTAATTGACCCTTTTACAAAAAGGGAACATCTAAGTTTTGTCTGTTAAGAGCAACGGGCTCAATTTTTTGACTTAAAAATGTAATATATATCACTGTGCTAAAATGACTTTCCTGAAGCATCTTTAGTCCACTGACTTACACAGGAGCTGCTACACACTGGAGTAGATTCAAGTTTGTTCAGGATTTTTGAGGGTGCGTGATACATACTCAGCTACCGTCTGTATCAGACACACAGGGTCATTAACTTTGTTTGTGGCAAATTTGCTGCACAGTCCACCCAGACATGATCATTACTCCTGACAAACTGGCCTAATTTCAGATATATTGTCTTTTATTATGCAATTATGTCTACAAGTGTTCAGATCCAACCCCCAGGATGGATGGAGTTTACCCAAATCCTCAATTTCCTTCTTCCTCCCCCGGGAAAAATCAAATTTGTATTTCTGTGGGTTTGACAACTGAGTCTCTTTCAAGTCAGTTAATATGGTAACTTTGTCTTTCTTTAGAAGAGACCAAAGGTCACTAACTTTGCACGAAAGCATTTCTTCCTCCTGCACCTGGCTTTACTCAAGTAATGTTTTCTTTTCTTTTTCCTCCTCACCACAGTGCTTGGGACGAGAGAATGTAAACATCGACAGAACAGCAGCCCTATGACCACATGAGTACTTTTCCATCAGGTAGATTCCATCAGCCAGCCGAGTGTGTCATCTCCTTTGCTTGCTGGAAGTCACTGAGATTTCCGTGGTAATTTAGTGTCCCCTTTACTTTGGCCTCCATCTGAGAAAAGAGATGTTTAATTGGTATGGGTCGGTATGTAATAAAAAATAAAAACAAAGCAAAAAGAACAATTAACTTTTAATTTTCACGTGGATGATGACATTGCTAAAAGGATAACCTTTAGTACCTTACATGTTATATAGCAGTATAGAGGTTGAGAACATAAAGGAGATAAAAACTCAACAAGAATGATCCTCTTATCTCAAATGACTGGTTTAATTGGTTTTCGGTGTCCTACAAATACTATTTCAACAAGTATTTATTATCTCCCTCACTGTCAATTGTGTCAAATGCTGTGAGGATTATAAAGAAACATAAAAGACATAATCCCCCTCCTTCAAGGGACCTAACACATTTTTTGATTCCTTTAGAAGACAAGGTCAATTTCATTTTCTTGCTAGTGAGATTAAATTTCCTGCCATGACACAGCATTTAATAACTCTCAATTATTTATGTAAATGATTGGACCACACTGGTAGTGAAAACTCCAGCTGAGTCTTTGTTTTAGTCCTAACCTGGCAAAAGTTGTAAAAGGTAGGAAAGTTTGCTACTGGGAACAATGGTTTCTTAGTTTTACATATGGCTATGTAACTTTTACTGGGAAAATGCTGATCACTCAAGTTAAACTGGACATGAGTAGGGCCCAGTGACCTCTAGAGACAACAGAATATACAGAAAATCTCTAATAGATCATTCATTGCCTTAGCAAGGAAAATTAAGGCCCCACCAGGCCTGAGAGAAAAAGAGGGAGGCACAAAGGGCAGAAATACACAGGTGTAAAGGAACAAATTATTGCATTCAGTAACAATCCTAAGGCTGGAGGAGACCCCAAAAGTCACAATGCTAAGTCCACTCGTGTGAAACCTAAGTTACTCGGGTGAAACAAGCAAAACAAAAAAACTGCCTCCACTGAAGAAAAGATGTATCAATGAAACAAGACAATTATTTCAAAAGCTGTATAAACAGAATATTATTAAAATGAACTTGGTGACAACATCTAAGGAACTGACTTTTCCATTTATAATGTGGTATTATACTCCTGCATTTGTAGACAGAAATGATTTGACTTGAGGCATAACTGAATTCATAAAATGGCAGAGTGGGATTTTGCTCAAAGCAGCTTTGGTTAATTACCAAAATAAAATACTCATATTAACTGGACAGTGAAATTCTTTAGACCAGGGTTTGGCAACTATGGCCTGTGGGCCAAATATGGTCTGCCACCTCTTTTTATGAATAAAGTTTTATTGGAACCCAGCCACACTCATGCTACATATTGTCTATGACTGTTTTCCTACTGCAATGGCAGCGTGGAGTAGTTGTGATAGACTATGTGGACTACATAGCCTGAATTATTTACTATTTGCAGCTTTATAGAAAACGTTTACTGACCCCAGTCTTTAGATAAGGTCAGAAAATTAACATTAATTGAGCTCTTACTATGCACCAGGTACCATGCTAGAAGCTTTAATTTTTTTTTTTTTTTTTGCGGTACGCGGGCCTCTCACTGTTGTGGCCTCTCCCGTCGCGGAGCACAGGCTCCGGACGCGCAGGCTCAGCGGCCATGGCTCACGGCCCCAGCCGCTCCGCGGCATGTGGGATCTTCCCAGACCGGGGCACGAACCCGTGTCCCCTGCATCGGCCGGCGGACTCTCAACCCCTGCGCCACCAGGGAAGCCCTAAATAAATATTTTTGTTAAATTCTCATAAGAAGCCTATTAAAAACATCTTGTTGTCCTCAGTTTACAAGCAAGGGAAGTGAAGGTCAAACAAGTTAGACTTGCTCAAAGCGGCAGTCCTAGAATTCAAAAATCCCAGCCTGATTCTCAAATTTAGTGTCTCATACTTTAAAATGTTTTTACAATGAAAAATTATAAACTTTTAAATTTCAATTACTTGGAAAATACCGACAGTCTTATTTCCTTTCTCCCTCTGGAACAGTGGTGCTGGCCAGAAAACAAGATAATGTACCTACACTTGGAATACTGGGGTCATGTTGAACCACAAGAATCCCAGGTGTCTAATTCCTTGCAGGTTTCTACCGGTCTGCCCTCAAACATACAGCTCTAAGCTGGACTCATCCTACCAAGCTGTCATCAATACCCAGGGTGGAACTGCCTTAGTCACAGGGCAATTTTCCTTAAGCACTTAAACCTAATCAAGAAGCCCAGGAAGATCAGGACTGTTGACACTTGTGCCTACTTTGTGGTCCCCCATTTGCACAACTGTGGTTTTGTATTCATTCTCTCAAGGGAGAGTCTGGGGCAGCTTACCACTTAGGTGTTTTAGAGGATTAATTACAAGCTATTGCCTCAAGATTGTTCTAAAGCTCCGATTTCCACATTGTGGTCAACTGTAAACTTGTTCAACAATAATTTTAAATGCAGTGGCCAAAAAGAATAGTGAGGCCCCAGTCAACTTCCAAAGTTAAGAGAGCAGCCGAGCGGCTCACAGATCCTGAAAATGGCCTTCAGAACAGTATCAGCGTTCTATGGGGGTCAACTGCTGGTGAGGGCAAGAATCTGGAGGCCAGTGTTGTGTCCAGTGTCCACTATCCAATTTCAGATTTCAGAGCGATCTAGTTGGGCTGCAAATATATAACGTGTACAGTTTAAAATCACGTTAATTTAATCACGGCTAAGAGGCAGAGAAGTTTAATAGTTAAGAATACAGGCCATGGAGTCAGACTTCCTGGGTTTGTATCTCAGATTAAACACTTACTACCCTATCATCTTGGGCAAGTTGCTTACCTCTGATTCAGTTTCCTGATCTGTAAAATGGGGATTGTTATCTCATTCACAGGTTTGTTGTAAGGATTAAATTAGCTAATACATGTAAGTAGTCACAAGACTGTCCACTTAGTAAGCTTTCAATAAAGGTCAACTATGATTAATTACCGGACATGACTTTTGTACACTGTCCTATGAATTCTATTCTTTGTCATCATTTCCATATAACAAACACCTTCAAAAAGGCTCTCTGCACATGTAATAAAAGATCTCCTTTACCTATTTCCTTTCTGTAAGGTGTTTGTTGCCAATAAGGATTCAGTCACATGAAAATTAGTTTTTCCAATCTTTGTCATTCCCTCACATGGTTTTCAGAAAAGACTTAAAATATATATTTGTAAATTTGTATAAATAATAAAGAGAGGAAGAAACAGGTGGCTTTCTTACCATTAAATGTTTGCTGTAAATGTGTAGGCAGAGGTGAGTGGGAAAGTGTTGCTGAATGCTGAGCTCCTGGCTGTAAACCCTTTAGTAAATCTGAGAGGAAAACAGACTTGTCAGTAATCTTAAAACTAAGATTTGAGCCCTCTTAGATAAAAAATGAAAATAGTTTATCTAATGCAAGCACAGACCTTGACTTCTTAAACTAGAGCACATACATTAAAAAATATTTACATGTATAAATATAAATGTGTATGCAAATAACCCGGCAAATCTGACTCTCTCTTTTAAATTTCATTAAGATAGAAATGTGGAATAGATAGTTCACTTACAAACTATAAAAAAATTTCAGAGTCCAGTAATTTGACTTATTTTATATATATAGATGAAATAAACTACATTTCTTTTTTAAAAATTCTATAATTTTCACTAACTCCAACTGGACTACTCTCAATTAGTATAAATTTGTGAAGTTTCCTGTTCTATCAAACTAGGTAGCCAAGTAAATAAAAGAGCCGCACTTACTCTGAGTTAGGCTATGGTGGAAAGCGGCTGAGGTAGATCCCGAGGTGGCTGTCACTCCAGCTGTGTCCGTTCCAAAGCCAAGTAGCTCCAAGGGAAACTGGAAGGGCATGGTCACTGGAACAAGGCCACCCAGCATCCCAAAAGGAGTCACATTTTGATTTGTTACAGACAAAGGTGATGTCATGAGAGTCAGAGGTGAGGCATTAGCCAATAATGATGCTCCTGCTGTGGACTGCAGAAACCAGGGGTCAAAATACATAAGAAATCAAGTCTTTAACCTGAATTGATTTATTGTACTTAATATCCTCATGGACACGAGACTATGTCTTACATCTGCTCTAACAGAAACTTTCGGAGACAGAACTGAAGACTGAAGCATAAATTACATTTCAAAGAGTGACCAGTACTGACTTTGGAAATACTTCTACTCAGCTCTTCATCACCAGTTTAGATTTCTTAACTGTTACTGCAATGCCTATATTAACACCCATTCACTTTCTTAATCAACTCATTTCTGACCTTAGATTTCCATGTTTGCTCTTAGCCCCTAGATCTGACACTGGTACTTTATTCCATAAAATTTCAATTTGGTCTCTGAAAATGCTCTGTAATTTTACTGTTTGCCTTACAGTCTTTTCCGACACAATACCTGCAGCTGTTGTTCTAGACTATTACTCTCTCAGATCCCCCAACTTGATACCCTGTACTTTCATCATAGCAGCCATCCTGTGTCCTCATCATTAGCCTTACCTGCCTCCTCGTCAGAAGCTGAACACCTGACCTATGCCACGAATCCCACCCATGCAGAACTTTCTGTGACAAATATCAAGCACTGCACCTTTTCCGTATTTCCTCTGCCTTCGCATATATAGAGTCCTCTTACACTGTTTTACAACCACGCTGTTATTCCTGGCTCTTCCCCAACCCCTAGCAAAAACCTGACTTATGGATCTTCCTTTTATTATCAAACTTGCTGAATGACAGCCTCCTTTTTCCACATTATCTAGCCTCTCGTAAACCCCTGAAAGAGGTTTCCAATTCCACTACTTTTTTGAACTTAGACTCCTAAGGCAAAAGGTAAATTAGAGAGTGTTTTGACACTCCCGGACCTGGGCTGTGACGCCATGTTTGTGTTTAGAAATACGCTAGCACTCATGAGCTCTCATGGACAAATTACTTAAATATACTCTAGTAAGCTAATTTAATTCTTTGAACACTTTTCTATAAAGCAATTAAATAATTTTTTTCCCATTTTGACTTTTTTTATGTGTACTTATCAACAAAGATTATAATCAAAATTTCGCAGTATCAGACATTATCTACTATAGTTTCTGCAATTTTGTAGCCTTATTTTATCAACTCAAAATTTCTGCGGTAAAAAACTTTACAGTTCTAAATTTGGTCAAGAAAACTGAATTCTCTGAGTATTTGTTAATCAATAATAAGCATTAGCTATGGTCAGTTTTACTTTATATGTTGATTATTTCTACCAGTAAATATTATTAATCAAGGGCTAATCATTTTATTTCTTAGTTAATGTATGAGAACAAGGTAGGTGATTTTCCCATGCAAAAATGCCACGTTACATCATATGTTTATACACTTAATGGTCCACAGCACTGCTGAACAAAAGAAATGAAGAACATCCTCCAAAAGCTTTCTATTCTGGTTTTTCCACGAGTTCTCCAATAGCCTTCCCTTATCTCCTTTATTTATCTCTCAGATTTATACCTATAGTTCTGAGTTCCAATCCTGCTTAGCTAACAGTTTAGTGAAGAATTCCACCTGGATATCTAACACGCGCCAACGTGGCATGTCCAGAACTGAACCCATCATCTGCTACAATCACTTCCTTCTCGTGCATGTTGAACGCTGGGACCAGTAGTTTCATTCTTTGCCACCACTCTGGCTTGAAACCTTAGTTTTTAAGCATCATGAAATGAAGAACAAGATGAGCTCGCAGTCAACATATCTTTTTTTTTTTTTAATCGCAACTTCCTCCCACACTTAAGTACAAATCTTTATCACTTTACGCTTGGACTTGACTATTTTTCTTACTTGCCAGTCTTTCCCCTCTACTGTGCCCACCATGATACACAAAATGGGTGATTTAGGAAAGAATTACTAAGGTAGAAACAACAATGCTTCTGAAGCAAAAAAAGGATCCAGCATCAATTTAAGAATTAACAAGGGTTCTTTCTTTCTAATCGTAATTCTATTTTAGTCTCAGGATAATATGGGGAACACACTCCAAGGCCATGTGCCCCAAGTGGAGCCCCCCTAGTGAGGAACATGAAACACTGCTAATAAGGAGAACTCTTCTATGCTTTTCTGGAGGAGGCTAATGGAAGCATTAAACTGACAGAAAATGCAAATTAGGGCAACTTTCACAATTAAGTAATGTGTGTTAGCAATAAAAAATGGCACCACGCCGTAACTATCTAACATTCTGTACTTTTAAAAACCTTCCATAACCACTTTTGTTTATAAAGCTAAAGTGAAACACCAGATTACCTAAGTATCTAAGTTTCTCTCATAGAAGGTGGAGACCTTCCAGAAGTGGGATATCCCACTGTTGATACCATTTGGAAGCACACAGGAGAAGCTGTCAGCATGCAGTAGGCAATTAGTTCGGGATAATGCCCCGTAATCAAAAATAGTTTCCATGGCCTCCACATTTCATTCCTAGGGGAAAATATGAACGGGCACCTTGCTCTTCCTGTGGTGGGTATTACATTTTTCTTTTGACGACGTGTTTCATTTTGGTGAGTACATCTGCCCCCCATTCTCTACAACACCCAGAGTGATCTTTTGAAATATAAATCAGACCATACCACTCCCCTCCAACAGCTTCCCACTGAACAGAAGTAAAAGCCCAAGCCCTTATTGTAGCCCACAAGGTCCTCCATCACATGGTTTGGAGTTGATCTGTGATCTCCTCACCTCCCCATCCTTCCCTGCTGTCTAGCCATGCAGGCCTGCAGGTCGTCAGGCTCTCTCCTATCTCAGCGTCTTCACATCTACCATCCCCCTCTTGCCTGGGCTGTTCGCTCTTCTCTCCAAACGGCTGGCTCCTGCTCATTCAATTCTCAGCTCTAATGTTGCCTCGTCAAAGAGGCCTTCTCCATCTCCCTGATCCATGTTAGTAGCAATCACACTTTAGCATATTACTGTTTTATTTTACTTTTATAGCGCTTAAAGTATTTTTAAATACTTGTGTTTTGCTTATCTTCCTACCTAGAATATACGCCCCCATGAGAGGAGGGATCTTGATTCACCCCATTTCCCCAGCACCTAGAAGAGTGCCTGGCACACATTAAACACTTAGTAAACATTTGCTTAGTGAATTATTTTGGGAATTATAAAGTGGCAAAGACAGGATTCACAGAAAACCAATAAGCTGAAGGGCAAGAAAGAACACGAAAGCCTTGAGTGGCAAGTTAATAAAAAGCAGGTAGAGATAATAATGTGAACCCAGAAAGACTTTAACTTTGGTTAACCTTAGGACCTGTCATTTTCACACCTGCAAACAGCTAAAGATGTCTTTCAGAAAGGAGTGGAATAGTTTATAGGCATAGATAGGAAACCTGTTTTTAGTGTTGGCCAGCTAGAAGGATAGGATCTAGAGGCCACAAGGTAGCTGATAAGACTTCAGTGAGATGCTATGTTAAAAAAAAGAACCTTAGGTTGACCAAAAGTTAGAAACAACCTTATTCAATTACTGATCTTTTCCTCAGTCAAACCAATAAGAAAGACAAAAAGGATCCGATATGAAGGCAGGAACACTAAGGTCTCCAAATCAGAAAGCCATTCGGAGAGGAAGAAAACCAGGGAGGAAGTAGTTATATTTTAGAAACACAAATTTTGCCACATAGTTTCCTTGCCAACAAACCAATTGGTAGACAACAAACCAAGTTGTTCTTCAGGGATAAATGATCAAATATAGGAAGGTTTCCAGGAAAAAAAAAGAACTGATAGATTCTGGAGATGACAAAAGACAGAGGGAGATTTAACTTTAAATTCAAAGAAAACAAAGCAAGTGGAAAAAAAGCAATTTTTAACTACAGGAAAAAAGTCCAAAATTTATAATTGAAACCACAGTTAATGACACTTAGCTCAACAGAGACAATATTTTACATAGTCACAGATTTAACCAAAAGTTGTAATTTTAGTCTTTGAAGAAAATGGGAAGGTAAAAGTGAGCTAAAAGCCTTATATCACAATGAGAAGCTGAAAGATAATACTAAAATAAATAGTCTTCCATTCATTCTTATTTTTTGAAAACACAATTTTTAAAAACACAAGAGAAAAAGCTAAGAGAGTTAACAGTAGTTGACACTAGGAAGGAGGATCTGGGGCACGGAACTGCCATTTTGGTTATAATCCTCTCACATATTCCTGTGATCAAATTAAAGATTGATTTCAAAAACACTCAACATTTTAATAAAGATAATAAAACAAGAATGTGGACTAACTCCTAGACCTTAGTTATAACTTAAATTTTAACATACAATCCCTAATCGGTTTTTTTTAATTTCTGATAAAAGCAAAATCATATAGATAAAACATCTATTTATCCTAGATTTCAGTTAATGAAGTATCAGTTAATTGAATTTTGTTCTATATTAGAATTCTAGAATTCATTCATTCCTAAGCCTACTTTAGTAAAGGCAGAGTGATGATTTGGGTTTTAAGTGTATATTGAATACCAACACTTAGCTTGTACTGAGTAGCAGAGACCCTCTACAGACACCAAGGGAAACGTATTTCATTAGATGTTCCTATTCCACATAAATAAGAGGCAGTACAAAGTTAGAGCACTTTCTTAGACAACAGAATTTCAGAAATCAATAAAAGTCATATTTTCAAAGAGTAACTGAGAAGCTAAGAGATAACATCATAAAATGTTATATATTTTTAAAGCTTCTTATGAAACAGAATATTACGTAAAATCCACTTTCCTGAAGAGTCTAAAAAAGTTATCAGGAAAGTATCAACACTGGTGGGATGATGGGTGGCTTTTCTTTTCTTTTTTTCTGAATTTTACCTACTGCAAACATGGATTATGTTTCAGGGGAAGGGAAAAAAAGTTAAAGAAACCAAATCAGTAAAGTGAAGACAAATCTGAGAAAGCCTCAGAATACAAAGAAGTGGCAGATAGATGGAAACAATAACAGAGAAGATGATATGAAAGGCAGAGAGATGGAATATATGAGTGCTAAAGAGTTCTCAAAAAACCTAGGCCAATGGATCAGAAAACATAATAGAACAAAATATTCTTGAGCTGAAAAAATAGGCAGGTCTGAGATTGAAAGATGTTACCATTTTTCTAGGTACACAGTTAATGAAAACTAGATAAACCTAGCCATTACCTGGGAACACTTGATTTTCAAGAAACAAGAGAAAATGTGATTAGCATTTAGGCAGAGAAAACACATTACTTATAAGGGAACAAAAAGTCAGAATTGCCTCATACTCTTTTATAACCTTAATTAGTAAGTAAGGGTCAGTGGAGCAGTATTCACAAAACTTGGAGTTAGTGACCCAAGAGTCTTTATCAACTCAAGTGTGGTAGCACAGAAATTATCAGGTATGCAAGAGCTAAAGTAAAACAGCTTCCACATTAGCCTTCTTGAAAAGATTCCTTGAATTAGGTACTCCTGCTAAATGAGAGATAAATTTAAATTAAAAACTCACAAATGGGAAAAGTGTGGTATAAATGGATTACTGACACTAACTTGACAGAGAATTATATATGAATAACTAAAATTTGTGCAAAATAAAAATTTTATTCGAAAAGACAAATGGTTAGAGGAAAAAATAATACGAATGTCTAAATTTTATTAAATAAAAAATTATGGGGCTTCCCTGGTGGCGCAGGGGTTGAGAGTCCGCCTGCCGATGCAGGGGACACGGGTTCATGCCCTGGTCCAGGAAGATCCCACATGCCACAGTGCAGCTGGGCCCGTGAGCCATGGCCACTGAGCCTGCGCGTCCGGAGCCTGTGCTCCGCGACGGGAGAGGCCACACAGTGAGAGGCCCGCGTACCACAAAAAAAAAAAAAAAAAAAAATTATGAAAGTTGGCAGGAGAAAGGGGACTAGGATGGGGAAAAGAAGAGACATGTGAAGGTATGTCAAAATCATAAGTGACTGTTTTGTTCTGGACTTTGATAAGGTACAGTTTTAAATATGCATTTTAGTTGTGTTTTTAAAAAATTTTGAAAGCAAGCATGTAATAAAAAAAAATCCACATCCCAACAAAAATTTCATTCCCAGGTGTCTCCATCACTGTGATGTCAACATCCATAAGTTATAAGTCATCATAAACAACTGATGATATTATAATAAAGTCATTAAATTGACTCACAAGAGAAATTACACCATCTTACACTTTATCACGTGAATGCATCTAACATACATACCTGCACACTGGCTGTTACCACTGACGACCCTGAGGCAGAGGATGGTCTATGTGGAGTAGACAACGGTTTAGTAGCACCCTGTGTTCCACTTCCTGTTCCCCCAGATAGACTAGTCCTATTAGCTCCGCTTGAGTTAAGGTTGCTACCTCTGCTGGCCGGTACATTCATTGCAATTCCACTCAAGCTATTCTTGCCGACAGTTCCAGTGGATGATGAGTTTGTTAGCTTTGGAGGGGCCTGAAGATTTTTTGTAGATGGAAGGCCTGAAGTGCGATTAGAGGGCAATAAATTCAAGGTGGGAGACTGTCTGCTGATGTTTATTCCACTGGGCTGTTTATGGACTGGGTTGTTACTGCTAGAGTGGCTACTCTGGGCCACTAGTGCATTTGGACTGGAAGAACTTGGGGATACAGTAGGTTTGGGAGTTGGGTTGGATTTAGAAATAAGTTTAGTTGATACTGAAGGCTTAGCTGACTGAGAGGGCTTGGGTGAGGCAGAAGGCTTAGGTGAGGGCAAGGGTTTAGGAGACGTGGCAGGTTTTGGAGATGCGGCAAGTTTTGGGGATGCAGCCATTGAGAAGGGAGATTTGAAACCCTGCGTGGAGATTTGTGACACCATTGCCTTGGCTAAATAGTTACTGGAGGTAGTGGTGCTAGGTACTGTCCTAGAAACCAGGGAGTGGGACCCTTGAGAACCATTTCCAGGTGGGGGAGTAGATAAGGGAAGGCGGTACATAAGTGGCTTATCTGAAGACTTAATAAGTGGGGATGAACAGGAAAGTTGGGGATTATTACTTAATTTCACCACTGGATTGGTCTGTGATTTACTAATAGTTGCTTGTAATGGAGACACATAGTTCTGTTGGACAGCTGAATGCTGGTGCACCTTTGTTACTTGTGTTAACGAAGAAGCATCTTGGGCCTCTGATGTTCCCAGAGCGTGAGAGGAGGCAGCAACTTGGGCTTGGGAAGAAGAGGAGACATGGGTCTGTGAAGAGGAAGAAGCATGAATCTGGCTTGACCTCTGTAGTCCTTGTTGAAGTAGCCTGGCTGGCAAAGGTTCTAAGGAAACTTTAGGGTTCTGAATTGAAGAACCAGCAATAAGGCCTGAAGAGATGCCAGTATGAGCTAAATCCTGGGGTTTCTTTGGTACTGGCCCTGTGTGGCCAGCAATAAGACTTGATGAATGTGCGGTCTGAGTAGAATCTAGTTTTTTGGGAGTAGCCAGTGGCAGTTTACTCATGATACTTGCTAATTTTTCCTCTCTCAGTCCTGGACGAGGTTTTGCAGTTGGCATACTTATCCTTGAGCCAGATGGAGGGCCCTTGTTCCCGTTGTTGATAACAGCTAAAGCTTCAGAAACAAGATCCAGTGCAGGTGGATGAAAAGAAAGTTCTTCATCTAGTGAGTCATCAAGGCAGATCGTCTCCTGGGCCGGTGTAGAGCTAGAACTGGTGGAGGCCACAGCAGATGTGCTAGAGCTCGTTGAAGGGCCACCAACTGAAGCCACCAAGGATGCAGGAGTTTTCTGGTCCTTTTTTGGACTACACTCCTAGCATAAACAGCATTATGTTGGAAAAACAAAAATGATTAATCAAAAATTACAAAGTATTAGATTTTAAAGGACAAAGGAATTCTCATAATTAAAATTCTACTAGAAATCTTATTTAGAGACTGTAAAAACCAAAATAATTTTCCAGAGGGTAGAGCTCCTAACTGAACTGTCCTCAAAAGCCAAAGTAACTGATGTATTGCACACAGCTGCCACATCTTAGTAAGCCATTCTAAGAAGGCTTAAAACCAAGCCAAAGGAACATTCATATACTAGGTCTATTGAAACCTCCTCTCCCCTCACCCACCTCTATCAGATCTTCAGATACTATTCTGAATCCATTTGTTCAGAGACTATTCTCTTTTTATCCTCCTTATACCTAGGAGAACTTCTGCCTTTATCTTTTTTATTTGTATTTTTTAAATTTTTTGGCCGCACCGTGCAGCATGCAGGATCTTAGTTCCTCGACCAGGGATTGATCCCGAGCCCCCTGCAGTGGAAGTGCAGAGTCTTAACCGCTGGACCGCCAGGGAAATAGAATCTTAAGGTAGAATCTTAAGATTCTACCCAGGGACTTCCCTGGTGGCACAGTGGTTAGGAATCCGCTTGCCAATGCAGGGGACATGCGTTTGAGCTCTGGTCTGGAAGGATCCCACATGCCAGGGAGCAACTAAGTCCGTGAGCCACAACTCCTGAGCCTGCGCTCTAGAGCCCATGAGCCACAACTACTGAGCCCATGTGCCACGACTACTGAAGCCCGCAAGCCTACAGCCCGTGCTCCGCAACAAGAGAAGCCACTGCAATGAGAAGCCTGTGCACCGCCACGCAGAGTAGCCCCTGCTCGCCGCAACTAGAGAAAGCCCGCGCACAGCAAAAAAGACCCAACGCAGCCAAAAATTAAAAAAATAAATAATAAAAATAAATTAATTATATATAAAAATGATTCTACCCATCTCGTATAGTATGGTTTGCTACGATACTGGCCCTCACTCTCTGCTTCCTTGCATTTCGGCCTCTTTGTATGCCTGTCCTACAGCTACCCATAGGCAGCGCATAGAGAAACTGGTACATCAAACTGGCAGAAGATTCAATTCAAGCACACTTAAATTACCTTTTCTATTCATTTTGGTAAAAGTCATTTGTAATTTATTCCACACATATTCACTATGAGCAAGGCACTATGCTAAGAAAGCAAGAGCATTAGGAATTAAAACTTGGAATGCCTAAAGAGAGAATATTTTCTGTTTTATCAAAAAAATTAACTTTCTTAAAATTCAAGGAAGAGATACGAGAATTAGGGCACAGTTTAAAATATTCAAAGAGCAAAAGAATTTAAAAAGTATCTCTCTCGGGCTTCCCTGGTGGCACAATGGTTGAGAGTCCGCCTGCCGACGCAGGGGACGTGGGTTCGGGCCCCGGTCCGGGAGGATCCCGCATGCCGCGGAGCGGCTGGGCCCGTGAGCCATGGCCGCTGAGCCTGCGTGTCCGGAGCCTGTGCTCCGCAACGGGAGAGGCCACAACAGTGAGAGGCCCGCATACCGCAAAAAAAAAAAAAAAAAAGTATCCTTCTCTTATATAAAGTACATGACTCATATTTAAGATTAAGAAGAAATAAAACTACATAAAAATCTTTTCAAAGTTTCTTCAATTAGCCTCCTAAAAACAGACAAATCCAAATAAACCCAAACCCTTATATTATACATTAATTTACGCCATGACAGCACTTCCTCTAACTACAGTAGGGAAAGCATGGATAGAAAGGGTCTTTACCACCTACTTTCTAAGGCATTAGAGTAAATAAGAATAATAAATTCTTATTTCTGTTAAGAATGTCACTACACTCTTTCTTAGCAATTTCTCTAAACTTCTATTCTAAAAAGCCGTGATTGAAAACCTCAATACCTTTTAGAAGTCTGTAGCGTAACTACATTAAGATCAAAATTGTCTGCTAAGATGAACAGCTAATGCAGATGAGACATGACTGCACTGACAGGCCAACCAATCACATGATTAGTGAAAGCTGCATTACTATAAAAAGTACAGAAACTGAGAGTGGAGGAGTGTATCAAAATAATACTGGGAGTGTTACCAGTATAGAATTGCCATTTTAAGTAACTTTCTTTTAATTTTTCTTTAATATTTTTTTCTTTACAAAAATAACAGTAAATCCAGCCAAGAGAGTACTGTGTAGATTTATATTGGTAAATTGTTCAGGATATATATTTGAGCCGAAAAAGCAGGTTATTCCATTTATATAAATCTTAATTCAATCTGGATAAATGAATGACTGGATGGGCAGATGGATAGATGGTTAGATGGATGGATGAATGGGTGGAAGGAAAGAAGGAAGGGAGGCAGGGACAGACAGCCAGAAGAAGGGAGGGCAGATGTGTACCAGAAAGTTAGGAGCTTTTTATTCTGTGTGAGCAGAAATTTCTGGATACTTTTACTTTCCTCCTTCTTACTTTTCTGTATTGTTTGCATTTTCTCCTGCAAGCATTTCCTTATATTACCTTTACAACTGAAATAGGTATTTAAAGGTCAGCAGGGCAGGAAAAAACCGTATCTGCAATACAGTTTTTCCATTTGGGGAAAAGGAAAGGGTAATTTAATCACAAAGAAAGGAACAAAACATAATTCCCCTGTACCATCCCAGCACACCCATTATTAGAATTCTGGTAAATTAATCATATGTTTAAATAGATGTATCAAAATTTAACCAACCCTTTATGGTGGGTATTAGGAGTTTAAAAATAAAGTCAAATGTCAAAACAAAGCATGAAGTCAATAGATTTAATGAAATACTGGCTCCATATTATTTGGATTAGAAGACAAAGCAGGTTAACTAAGAAAAAGAAGACTATTTAATCTGTGTTCAAAGAGCCTCTAATATAATAAATTAAGAAGACCACGGAGTAGCAAATGTTGACCTTCTGGCCCTAACCTCACAAGCAAAGAAACTCTATTCAAAGAGATGAAGACTATGGGAAAAGTCTAAAACCTACAAGTTGTGGGCTTTCATTATAATTTTAATTTCAAATGATTATAGTTTTCACTTCTAGAGGTTATGCTTGGTTCAACTCTGCTTTGTCTACTTTGATCGGATATTTTTTGTCCCCCCTTCTACTTTTTTAAATATTAAAAAACTTAAGTTACTTTATGTTCTAAATCTAATAAATCCATCACTTGCCCTTCTTAGGGATCTAATTCTGTTGGCTATTTCCGCTGACTCACTCACAGTAACTTATTTCCTCACGTATTCTGTATTTTCAGATTGTAAACTCATGTTTGACACAGTATATATGTGATAAGCCTTTGAGGCCTGGGATGAAGGTACATTATTAAAGAGTGAATGTGATTTGCCAGTGCCCTGGGTTAATACTAATCTAACAACTTTAAGTTATTTTCGTAGCTTGAGGTTTTCCCAGTTCATGCAGGTTGTGTAAATTAAACTCCTAATCCAGAGAAAAATTTCAGGGAGGATTTCTTCTCCTAATCCAGAACCCAGGCCAAGATACACAAATTTCTTAGTCTTTCCGCTGGTGAATGGATTTCTTTTCCAGTTCTTTCTTTTACTAAAAATGTTATCCTTTGAGAGTCCCAGGTTTACGGAGAGTTTCATTCCAATTCCCAACCTATTTAAGTCTAAGAAAATCTTATCTACTGTGCTCTGAGAAGGTGATAGAAATCAGCAAAGGCACCTAAAGGCAACTAAAGTTTCAGTGACAGATTAACAAACACTCTGGCAGCTTCTTCTTTTTTCTGAGCCTTAGGAATTTCTCTTACATATTTATATGTGCAACCTCAGCGATGCTTCTGAGAGATATTTGTCATATTTTATTCAACATTTCTAAGTAGTAATAAGCCTTACAATTTAACTAATGTATACAAATTTCCCACTGCCACAAAGTCATCTCTTCTCCCAAATACAATGGTTTTAGGATTTTTACAATGTTTGAAAACACCCATCTTAAGAGTATGGTACCTAAAATACATGTGAAATACCATATAACCTTTTCATCATAAGGATGTATTTCAACAGTCACCAATTATCACTAATTAAAGATTTGGTTCATTACTTACCTTCACTTTGGGTTTAGGTGCAGGAATCACCTTTTTCTTTGCCCTAAGAGAAAAGATTAAAAAGGAGTCCATTTCAGGAGCAGTTAAGTCACTCATTAGGAAATTGTAACATATAATCTTGTAATTATATGGGTAAATAATTTCTTCTATTTGGGAAGTTCTCTGAAGGAACTATATATAAGTTATATAAGTGCTCAGTTTATATGTGAATATACAGCAACATGTTCCCCAATTTCAATTAACTAGAATAAAGGCCAAACCATTAGTAAAATGTGAAATGTGGATGATAGTTTTTTAAAAATTTAAATGTAAATACTAAAAAAAAAAATTTAAAATAACTCAAAACAGGCTAACAAAGCTGCCTAAGGAGACTTATTTCAAAGAGTTGGTAAGAATTTGTAATTATTTATAGAATAAGAGCTTCAAGGAACTTTAAACTCAAATTAAACCATGCTAAGAGGTTGTAAATGAGATACTGTTTAAAAAACAAAACAAAAAATCCTCAAGTTTTTAAAGAAAATTATTTTTAACATAATAATTTAGATAAAAATGACAGAAAAAACGCAATAAAAATACCATGGATCCTTGGAACCTTTGGGAACCAGTGTGGAAAATGTTTGAAGATTAAAAAAGGGTTGAAAAGCTAAAATACCTCACATGTCAGAACATTTCGACTTCACTAAGTTAAAATGCCATCAATTAAATTAACAGGTATCTTGATTACAATCTACAACTTCGTTAAGGCAACAGTAATATTCATGACTTTCAGGCCCATATTATCACACAGATTCCTACTTTCTGATACAAAACGAAACATAAAGCCATAATAATGAGGCTACTAAAAAAGGAAAAAAAAAACTGAGGTAAAGGATCTATGTAAACACTTGCTTTAGAATTAAAGGAATGAATTATTTATACTTGAATTGTAACGTGATTTTAGAACTATAGGGAAATTAAAGGCCTGAAATATTATTGACACAAATACATATAAAGGCATGAAAAATATACATACCCCCCACCCTGGGATATCTAAACCACCTGCAACAAAATAAACCTATAATGTATGAAACCAAACTACTCCAAATTTATACCCAAAACAACAAAACTAGCAAGATCTGAAAACCACACCAACTCAATACATCTCTGATGGTATACTAACAAAGTGTCCTTCCTAAAAGCTGTAAAAAATTCCACCTACAGGGGGCTTCCCTGGTGGCGCAGTGGTTGAGAGTCCGCCTGCCGATGCTGGGGACACGGGTTCGTGCCCCCGTCTGGGAAGATCCCACATGCCGCGGAACGGCTAGGCCCGTGAGCCATGGCCGCTGAGCCTGCGCGTCCGGAGCCTGTGCTCCGCAACGGGAGAGGCCACAACAGTGAGAGGCCCGCGTATTGCCAAAAAAAAAAAAAAAAAAAAAAAAAATTCCACCTACTATAACTGTATACATGGAGAGGGGGAATTTTGTAACATTACCCAGATGTTAACCAGATCTCTTAGTGGAATACTGAACTAGAGTGCTCAGTAAATTCTCAGTGACTTGCTTATTTTATATTTTATTAACCCTTAATACTACACTTCTAGGCAATAGAGAAGTAGCCTTAAGTTGTAGGTAAAAATAAAATCCTTGTCAAATTAACCAGTATTCACCCAAAAATGTAACCACAGAAAAAACTTGCCTTTTCACTAGAGACCTTAAGTTGTAGGTAAAAATAAAATCCTTGTCAAATTAACCAGTATTCACCCAAAAATGTAACCACAGAAAAAACTTGCCTTTTCACTAGAGACCCTTGCCTTTTCACTAATTAATTCTAAATTAATTATTTAGTAATTATCAATACATCACTAATGAAAGATTCAGTTTTGGACAGAGGGAAGGACATGAAGAGTATGTTAATTTTGTAGAATAAAACACTGCAAGGCAAGGCTAGGTAGGATATATACAGAACTGTCTTAGAAAGCATGAGGATAACAGATTACCTTTGTAGATGGTCATTAAGAGGGAAAGAAAAAAGTATACAAAACAACTGGAGGGCAGATCCTCCAGGAACAAAGGAAACCACTAGAGCCTTCCTGTTTACATGGTTCCTCACTACCAGATCTCAGGCCAATATGTTACATTATGGATTCAAGTTTTTAGAGGCTAGCCTGAGAAGTTCTTTAATAGATAAATATGTCCTGAGGTCTACAGAGTCAACAGTTTAAACGATTTTTAAAAACAAAAAAGCAGTGGTAAGACAGAGATTGTATAAATGTATGTTTAAGTTCTATTTTACCTAGCATTTAATAAATGGTATTTTTGTTTACTAAATATCATAATGTGAATAAATACAAATGAAGAAATCTGGAGTCTGCATTTACTCACGGAGCAGAAGTAAGATGATTATGTACACTCCGACTTTCCTTAAAAAGCATTCTGGAAAAATTAAAAGGACACAATTATTTTTCCACAGCAGATAATAACATGATAATCACTTTGTCATTTTAATCATTTAATATTCAATAGGCTACTATTTGCTTTTTTACCAAATAAAGACTTATAATGGTACAGTAAATTCAATAACCTATTCTATGGGAAATGTTATATTACCTCTTTATTTAAATCTTTTAACAGATTTCTGTTGATTTAAGATGAATACTTCAGGATGACAGGTTGAGACAGCCAAGTCTATTAATTTTAACATTCTTTACTTAACTCTTTAAACTGGGCTACACTTAGTTTTAGAGATACCACTCTACATTGACTATTTTCAATAGCACTAAGGCTGTGCCTCTTTTTCTACACTCTAAATCTTGTGCTCAGTTACTTATCTTCATGATACCCATATAAAGTTCCCCTTCCAAAGTTCAAAACTTTCTTCCCCCCTCCCCTTTTCTCTTATTAGGAAATTCACGTGCAAAAAAGAAAAAGTGGTCGGTTAAAAAAAAAAAAAATCACCTTTATGTGTATCTCTATGTCCATGTGACTAACTGTTTTGTCTTTTAAGTGAGTGAAGCTTTCAAAGCAGACATCATCTGAGATGACTGTAAAGAATGTTAAACACACTAGGTTCTTAGGAAAATGAATGTCATATGTGTGTGTATATGTCTTTAATAACAGCAATAAAAAAGTAAAATAAAATCTAGGATGTCATATTTCTTACCTTGCCTGCATCCAGCCCTTAGGCCACAATGGTTTCACCTCTGTCTCCATAAAGGATTTAAGATAATCCTCAGCAGACTGGCTTTTATTTGGCTCTAACTCATAGCATCCCAATTTGATCTCAACAAGGTTACATAACAAAGTTCTAAACAGATTAAAAATATATATTTATATATAAATCTGACTGCAAAATTGTAGAAAATTAAGCTTGAAACAGATTTTTTAAAAGCACATAAATCTGACAGCAATAATAAAGACTATTATCTGAAGAATTCAGAAGATGACATGAAGATAGATAATTTCTAACATATATCATTCGGTGTACTATAGCCAAATTTCCAATATGAGATAATTTCCTTTGATACCTTTAATCCAGGCACCAAAGATTAAAAGGGATAGTCCTACAACTAAACCCTCCACTTGGAGTACAGAAATACTGGTAAGAAAGATGACTGGTTATATAAATATATTTAGTACTTCACCTCTGAAACCAGTATGACTTACTCAATAATAAGATTAACTTATAAAAAGTACTATAGGTAAATAAAAGTGATAGAACTCTAAGGATATTAGAACCAAATTAATTTTCTCTTGAATAAATTTTTCCTACACACTAACTTTTGGTTGCTTCTATCTAGTTTTCCATTTACTATCGATTCTTTTTATGAGAAACCTTACTTCTGCATCAGCTATTTGGTTAAAAGTGAAGGTTTTGGTTGAATCTTACCTAATGGTGTCATCCCAGTGGAACTTCTTCCTTGGTCCTATGACACGTTTCCCTGGTTTCTCATCATCATCTTCCTCAGACCCATTTTTTTCTCGTTCTTCATCTGTTTGAAACCTAAAAATGAAAACTATTTTATGAAGCAAAGTTTCAACCCAACACTGCCTATAATATGCTCCTTAGATACTTGTTGAATTGCTTAATTGAATGTTAACTCAAAAGACAGGGTAAATGAGGAGTCTACCTTTCCACATAATACTTTGAAGTTGAAGTGCGTTATAAAGCGCTCTGGTAAATAAGGTCTTCAAACTCTAATATAAAGGCATGAACACTTATCTTTTGTATCCAACTTCAACCAGTCAAGTAGGTCAACATGTGAAATGTCTGACCAGTGTCAGCTCTAGCTTTGATCACATCCATACACTAAATCAAAAGACCTTTTGCCTTTCACACCAAAGCAGTTCAGTGGGAAGTGACTTGCCATTTAGAAAATATATTCAATTATACCACTTCAGTGGTTTATGTGGATTTCTACTTGGTGATGAAGTCCACTTAAGACCAATCTCTAACAGCTACAAGTATTTCTCAAATGCAAAAGCCAGTCCAAATAGAAGAGGTACATACTTGGCACACTTAGCTTGATTACGAGCCTGGCAGTCCTCCTGGTATTTAAATAGCTGTTCAGGCATGACATTGCTAACAGCCAGTTTCAGTTTTTGCAGAGGTTCTCTTAAACGATCATCCTGAGGAAAAAAAAACACTGAAAGTTTTTTCAAACATATTTACAAAACTTATTTTGCAAGCAGATCCTCAGAAGATGAAATTTGGGTTTTAGATATTGATCACACATTTGAAATGTTAGCATATTCAAATATGGACATTTCTTCTAAAATGCTGACTTTTCATAATGCACACTGTATATAATAAAATTAGGATAACCCTACTTCCCAGAAAGCCACGCAGAGTCCCAGTTTTTGCCTGTTGCCTCAGCATAATTATTAATAGTGCTCAATTACACTCTTAAAAATACTCCAGTAAATTATATGGACACTTTAACTGTAATAAAATGATTAAATAGAGAACAAAATCTACACTGTGCAGACTACTACCAGTTAATCCCCATTATGATGGGGAACTAGTACCACAAGAAGAGATCCTGCTTTGGAGGACTGGAATGCACAGTTTGGTTTGGTGACTACCAACAGAATGTTGGCATCCTGTTTCCTTGTTTATTGTTAGTAACTGTGACTTAAGTTGTAAGCAAAAATGCAAGGTCAAGGCCAAAGTGAAAGAGGACAATGGGAGACTCTTATTCACGTCAGTTCAGGGCAAAAAGAAAAGAAGGTTTGTATCTGACAGCTTTAATCAATCAATTTATTTATTTCATCTTGCAAGTAACAAAATATATATGTAGCTATTTAGAACATACTCTTTATTACTGTCATAGGTGCAGAAATATTAGACTTTGCTTTTCTTACTGACACAACTGTGTTTAAAATGTGATTTTTGGTAAGGAGAAGACTTTTAGGAATGCAATTATCATGTTATGGCAGGTGTGTTTTACAAATTAAAACATTTTATTAATAACATTAATTTTATTAATAAAAACAAAATACAAATATTACTAACAAGCATTTTACTTATTTCATGCATACCAATTAATAAATGTTATTGCACATATGACAGTGTCTGCTATAAAATCCCATTTAAAAAAATGGAAGATCCAGTATCATGGTTTCTGGGTGATCTCATCTTAAGAATTACATAGCTGAGACTATCTGCCTGGGAACAATCCAAATATACATCAACAGTAAAATGAATAACTGAGATATATTCATACAATGGAATACTGTACACACAGCAGTAAAAATGGAGTTCCCCTGCATGTAAAGACAGATAAATCTGAGATGCATAATGGTGAGTGTAAAAAAGCAAGCTGCGTAAGAAAACAGACACTATTACTCCATTTATATGAAGCTCAAAAACATGTCAAACCAAACAATATAATGTTTAGGGATACAAAGGTACATGATTATACCATATAAAGAAAAGCAAGGGTTAGATAAATGTCTTTCTTCCATAGTCAACATTCCATAGTCAATGTCCAGGCATAGGCACAAAATCTGAGACCTCAAATAAATTTCATTTGTTCATTAACCTGCTTTGAATTGAGAAAGAACTACAGTTTCTCAATTCAAAAGAACTATTTTATTAATAGAAGTATAGCACCTTTAACAAAGAATTCTATGCCTGTCAGATCACACCCACTGCGGTGATCCAGAGCACCACACTCAGTCCCCTATTTGTACCATGCTGTGCTTTGTGACTCTAGCCCCCCGACCAGAAAAGTTTAGACTGACTCAAAATAATACAACCAGAGTTTTCACCCCAAGCATATGGATTGGGATGAGAAATCTACAGTCAATCTGTGTAGCTTTTCTGTAATATAAAACCTTGGAAATAAAAAAAACTTATCTGCAGATGCACATAAAAGGATAAAAGTGAGATAGGGCAAGAGAGGTAAAGAGAAACAGAGTTAATTCAGATTATCAGTTCCCATTCCTTCCTGGTTGCATTCTTGCCCTTAATTCCAGGGAATACCTTTATTCATAGAAAAAAGTGTTCTTTTTTTTATCTTAAACTGCATCCAAGTTATTTTTTCTATAACTTGCAAGTTATAAACATTTTTAAAATACATAGTCAAACAAATCATTAAAGGAAGAGTAATCAGGACAGTGAAGGTACTGAAGCCCATTTTATATGAAGTAAAGAAGGGGACATAATTTGTGAATAAACGCAAAAGGAGAATTAGGACCAATGGGATGGAAAGCACTTGGATTTGACTCAACATATGCAAGAACTTCCTGATATTGTAATGAAATAAGCTTCTGATCACTGGAAGCATGCAAACTTGCACAATTACTTAGAGGCACTGCAGTCGAGAAGAATCTAGCAGAACATGGATGATTACACTAGATAATCTTTAAGTTTAAGTGCAACCCTGTGACTCTTTCCATTGGTCTTTATGTCAGTGTGAGCATATCTGTATAGGTCCATTTCAGGAATAAGAAAATTGAATTATACATATGTCAGATTATTTGTTGAGGGCAAAGTTGTGTCAGTTGTGGAACTGAGGTTAATTTACCTAGTCCAAGAAGCATTAGAAAACATTATGTCTCATCTAAACCTCTCAATTGATGAAAAGCAATTTTTTCCCAGGGGATCCAACATGCTATGGTTACTAAAGAACATCCTATGGTTACTAAATATGTACAATACAATTATAAAGCAATTAGTATGCAAAAGCAGCAAACAGAAATCAGTCTCCTTTCAGGTTATAAAACCCCAGAAGCAGGTATTATTGTTCCTCCTCTTACCTGGACATTGAGATGTAACTTCTTTAGACGTTTTACCAGTGTTTCTTTATTGCATGGCACAAAAGCTTCAAGGTGGGAGTAGACACTGCTACGAATGACAGGGCCTAGTTCCTGCAGCTGTAACTCAATGCTGACCAAAAACAACAACAAATAAGTAGTACAGAATTTCTTTTAGGTAGTAACAAACAAGCAAGGAGGCAGAGGCAGTGATTTTTTTCTCCTTTTACCTTTCCATGATTTCCTAGACAGTATTTTTCAAGGAAAAAAAAAAACAAAACCATAAATCGTAATGCTATAAAAAATTTCAATGAATCTAGTTTCAGAGTAGAATTTACAACCCCAACAAGATGGCAAATAATTTTTTTTGCTTTTTTTTTTTAATTGAGGTATACTTGATTTACAATACTGTGTTAGTTTCACATATACAGGAAAGTGTTTCAGTTATATATATATATATATATAAAATTACTTTTTCAGATTCTTCTCCATTATAGGTTATTATGAGATATTTAATATAGTCCCCTGTGCTATATAGTAGGTCCTTGTTGTTTATCTATTTTATATATAGTAGTGTGTATCCTAAACTCCTGGGAATTCCCTGGTGGTCCAGTGGTTAGGACTCCACGCTTCCACTGCAGGGGGCATGGGTTCGATCCTTGGTCGGGGAACTAAGATCCTGCAAGCTGCACGATGCAGCCAAAAAAACCCACAAAAAACCTAAACTCCTAATTTTTTCCCCACCCCGCCCAAATAATTTTTTGATGACAGGGGCAAAGTCTACATTTTTGGGTAAAGCACAGGAACTCCATTATTAACCAAAAACTCACTTCCTCAAAGAGACATCATACTTCCCCTCACCACCCTGCAACTGCTATACTAGAGTCACAGTTTCAGTGAATTTTTAGAGTATTTTTTCCTTAAAGGTGTTTGAAAAAATTACAGATTCAGAAGAGGTAAAGCCCTCCTGGCTACACGCACAGACTGTTTTATCCTTCTTTGTTTTCCTTATTGTGCCTCCACTGAACTAGATATTTAATAGTTTGTTCAATTTATTCCAGTTCTCCAGTTCCTGCTAAAAGAGTATTTAACCAAACAGTTACTTCAAAAAAAAAAAAGGGAAGAGTTTGTAATAGCCACCATATTCTCAGCAAGACAAGCCTACTATAAACAATTGAGGTGTCTTCCAGATGGAAGACAGTATATCTGGCAGTTGCTACTGTAGAAAGATGAGAACAGATGTTAATTTGAAGGTCAAGACCAAACTGGGGCCCTTGGCAATAAACTATGTCCAAATCATCATGTTTTACTATAGAAGAAGGTGCAAACAGACGTAAATATTTTCACAAATATAAGGTACATGCAAAGATTCAATTAACAGCTTTTGGGGAAGGAAAGAAACCCTGCCAGATCAAATGTATCCAACACTTATAATATACACTGCAATTTCAGAAACAATGAAATGTGGAAAACTATACTCCTTAGAACTGACAGTTGAAAATTCTTGGTATTAGAGAAGCCAAGTATAACAAAAGGATAAATAAAAAGAACTTTAAGGCCTATTAGAGCCAGAGGGTCAAATCAGAGGTTCATATGGAAGACAATCATTCCGGTCATGAGTTCTGTGTACAAACACTTGGTTAAATATTGTGGTTAGTTCTTTATTAAAAGTCAAGACTCTGGGTAGGAGGCATTCTAGGCTTGCCCCATTATAAAAGCTTAGTTAAAGCTGAAAATAAAATAGAAACTCCAAGTAGTAAGAGATTCCAAGTAAGAACAGACTGACTCAATGACTCACTTATAAAAATTAGTAGTTTCCAAACAGGGGTTAACTCAGAAACAGGAAGTGCTGACTCCCTGCTCCTAAGCCCATAATATTAGGTAAAAATTAGAGAAATGTATTAACCCTAGAGGTTACTGACTGTACTGGTCTATCCCAAATATATGCAAATTCATATCTGAGAGCAGTTTAAGTACACATCCCTCACACATATACTTTAATATTTTTTTTCTAAGAATTCTAATGTTTTAGTATATGGGGACAATAAAATATACCTGAATAAATTCATGGGAATTACTAACCCAAATAATCATGTCTCATATGCCCTTAGACAATCAACTCAGTCCAGAGAAATAGGGGATGTCTATTCAGGAAAGTGGAAAAAGAAGACAAGGGGGGCTTCCCTGGTGGTGCAGTGGTTGAGAGTCCGCCTGCCGATGCAGGGGACACGGGTTCGTGCCCTGGTCCGGGAAGATCCCACATGCCGCGGAGCAGCTGGGCCCGTGAGCCATGGCCATTGAGCCTGCGCGTCCGGAGCCTGTGCTCCGCAACGGGAGAGGCCACAACAGTGAGAGGCCCACGTAATGCAAAAAAAAAAAAAAAAAAAAAAGAAGACAAGGGGGCATAAGAAAGTAGTCACTAAAAGGGAAAAAATTCAACTCTGAACACTAGGGCTTGTAGAATTAGAGGCACACTCTCAGTGAAATAAAAAGCAGATGAGCTCCAAGAAAACTAGAAGATTCGTTTTAAGACAGACATGGCAGGAATTAACAGAGATGCTTCTTTGAGATGTTATATCCCAAGGATGATTTTTTGATTCTCTCAGAAGAGAAAGAGTTGTCCCCTTACAGAAGAGTAAAATAAAAAAGGACAGTCTCAGTCACAGGAAAAAGACCTGATCTAGAAAACTTAGGGCTCTTAGGTAAAAAAAAAAAAAAAAAAAAAAAGGAGCTAGTCAGATCCCAGATTTTGGAATCTGGGACAGCTCTGATGAGTAATGGTTACACTGTTTATTGAATCTAAGGTTTAAAAGGGAGCTAGGTAAAAGGAGGTGGAACAGACAGGAAGCACCTGCAGGCAGACAGAATCAATCTGAAAACCCCTGGCTAAAATAAAGAATAGGAACAAGAAATTCCTCTGTGTCCATGCTACTAGCATACTAGGTTATGTGTTTTTTGAGTCCATGGAGACCAAAATGATTTTTTACGTACTTCAGGAGAAAGAGAGATTGCATTAATTAAAATAGTTATCAAAACCAATAAGCTAATCCAACCTTTATATCTCATGAGAAACTATCTCCATCATATATTTAAAAGACAGGAATCGTAGTATTGGAAACACTGCCTTGTTTCTTTGTATATGATGCTACTGAACCACCAAAAGTAGGCATACATTATTTTCATCAGAGAGGAATTTGCTGCTTTTCCCAGGACCACTTCCTTTTTGCCCATTTCTGCTTGTAGCCAATTATATACTCAATTTCTGGAACAATGGTCAAAATTTATAAGCCTTATAAGGTTTGTAAGTGCAGCTTATGTGACCATAGTCTTAGAACGTGCAACTTCATTAATGTTAAACTCTAGATAAGGGTGAAAATTATCACTAATTTAAATACAATTTATATCATAAACCAGCTTTCACCCTTTCCTTTCCAACTTAACATCTGTCTTCTCCACACTGCCTCCGTCCTACCCCACAAAAATGATTCTTCATTAAACCACACTTTCCATTTGGCTATAAATGTCTGTATGAATTATAATAAACCTCACTGGATACTAATGGAATTATTTTCCCCACATCTGAATCAAAGTAGAAGGAAAGTACACCAAATTTAATACAAACAATCAGAACTGTCCCAGAAAGATATTTTCACATAACGTGACAAAGAATGCATTTAAATCTAGGATAATATTCAACCCATACAGCAGTCACTTGCTCTGGCAGTTATAACATTGGAAGCTTTGATTATCATAAGGGGTCCCGGAGAACCAATGTATGTAGAAGCATCGTTTTGCTAAGAAACAAATGTTAATCACACATGCTGTGAGGCCAAAAGGGAAGAGCTAATGCATGAGACTAGCCAACCACTCAGCATCTGTACCTCAAAGGCCTACTATATTTTTTAATGACTTCTTAAGGTTTAAATAATTTTCAAGGTTTCTTAATCAAAGAAGAAAATTACTTACTCCAGAAGAATATTATTCATATCCTGTGTAAAGAATTTTTTCCTTCCTTCTTCATCAAAAAGTTTGGCAGCCTAGAGAAACACAAGATTGTCAATATAACTCTCAATAAACACATTACACATTATATGCTTCCATATCTATTTACTTAGAATAAGCTCCTTGAGGGTGGGGCTATGATTAACTTCACTTTGTCCCAGCTTATTACCTGGCATGAGCAGGCAATGAAACAGTGCTGAAACAAAATTTAGCATACATAACATTCTTCCCTGTTATGTCTGTATTTCATTTTTCTGAATTTTCCTAAATTTAAAAAGTTACACAGGGGCTTCCCTGATGGCGCAGTGGTTAAGAATCTGCCTGCCAATGCAGGGGACATAGGTTTGAGCCCTGGTCCGGGAAGATCCCTGGTCCGTGGAGCAACTAAGCCCATGCGCCAACAACTACCGAGCCTGCGCTCTAGAGCCCGTGAGCCACAACTACTGAGCCCGTGTGCCACAACTACTGAAGCCCACGCGCCTAGAGCCCATGCTCCACAAGAGAATTCACTGCAATAAGAAGGCTGCGCACTGCAACGAAGAGTAGCCCCCGCTTGCAGCTAACTAGAGAAAGCCCGCATGCAGCAACAAAGACCCAACGCAGCCAAAAATAAATAAAATAAATAAATTTATATTTTTTAAAAGTTACACATATAAGACTTTTTATGGGTGCTATGGGTGTCTTGTGTATTTTGAGTATCTGTAAGGTTTGTTTATCAATTCTTGCTGTGATCTCCAAGATAAGAGAAAGCAGATGTCTCATTTTCTACAAGACAATACTGTCCAACGTGTCTGATATTCTATATATTATACTCATTACCATGTTTAATCTTCATAACAGACAGTGACATTGGTATTATAGCTCCCATTTTACAAACAAGGAACCTAAATCTTACAGAAGTTACATGATAATGCCCCCAAATCACACTGCTAGTAAGTGGTGAATCCAGGACTCAGACCAGAAGCTTTCTGACTTCAACTGTACAACACTGTCACCCTGTACAAAGATACTCAGCTTACTGCAGCCAGTCTGGGTTCTACCTAATTACTAACAATGAAAAAATTAGCCACAGTCATTATCAAGGGATAAGCAACAATTAATTCAATGAGGATAAGAATATTTTCATCACTGTGTTTGTCATCTTAACCAGTTTACCAGAAACAAAGAGTATGCAAACCAAGACACTGTACCATAAGCAAAATTTACTGGGGAAATAACAAAAGATAGTTTATCTTGAGGTGCCCAAGATGTAAGACATCGAGAGGCCTGATCCAATAATCTGAGCAAGTCACATGCTGACTCTGTCAGTCAGCAGATTGATAATTTTACACTGTTTGACAACATCACATTCTGTAAATAGAGGAGGACAATTTCTGAGATGTGCCTCAGTGCTTCTTAGAAAGGATGAAGACTGGGTATGTATAGGGAGAAGAAATATAGGAAGAAAGCCAGAATGGAAACTAAACTTCAAGAAAGAGAATCAAAAGAAGTCAAGAGGCTGAACAGTGGAAGATATGTTACAAAGTGAGAAAAGAGCAACAAGAAGAAAGTCCTTATCAGACAGATATGAGCATTTTAGGCAACAATGAATTCTCATCTCCTGAAGAAAAAAATACCATCTCCTATTTCAAAGAAAAAAATACAGAGAATTCACAAATACTAATAAGTGAAATGAATCTTGTTATTGATAATTTCCTACTAAGAGGTTAGGAAGTAGCTGTTCTAATCCTAGCATGGCTACTACAGAAAGAGTTTTTAGTATATGAGATATAACAGCACCTTACAAGATTGAAACACACTCATTACTAATCAATTCTGTTTACTAAGTGAATATGAATGGCATATAACACAGTGGACAGAGTGCAAGTTATAAAGCATGATGGTCCTGCCTTTAAATCCTGACTGTGCATCAAGCCTCACCCATTTAAAAATTATGTGGCCTTGGGAAATTTCTGAACCTTAGTTTCCTCATCTATTAAATGGAAGAATACTACCTACCTCACATAATTGTTGGAGGATTAGACTCCACAGTATATACAGTATTCTAAGCCTAGTCAGGGAACTGTCTCCTGAACAATAAATGATGTCTTGTGAAGCTGTGGGTCCCAGGAGCACTGCACTCAATACAAGGTATAGGTTTTTGCTAAATAAATAATAGCTGTTATTATTAATTATATATTGAAAAACCTGGATTACATCCCTAGCACTTTTTATTTAAAACATAAAAGAAACTAAAGATTTTAGGGGCAACATGGGATAGCAAAAAGCATGTACTACTGAGTCAGGTGAACCCCTGTGTTTAAATTCAGGTTCCACCACTTACTAGTTGTGTGGACTGACCAAGCTATTCAACCTACCTCCACTTAAGTGTGTTAACCATAAAAAGGAAATAATACCTACACTTCATACATAAAGTGGTTAAGAATAGTAAATAAAAAACCTATTTGATTAATAAAATGATTGTATACTTTTCAAAAAATAAGCACAGAAAATAGCAAAAGAATGAAAAACAAAGGAGGGGAGGGAACAATAAAACAGAATATAAAAGAAAATGACAGAATAAAGATGAATTATATATCATTATCATTATAACAGTGGTAGGTAAGATAAAATCTTAAAGATAAAATCTTAAAAAAGACTCAGATGAGGTCGATAAACAAATTTCCATTTACATGCTGTCTATAAGAGAAAGAGCTAAAATAAGTCAAAAAATAAAAGAATTCAAAAAAAAAAAGAGCTACAATGAAGGTAAATGATGGGAAAAGCTATACCATGCAAAAATAAAGAGAAAGGAGTCTACAGTAAAATCAGACAAAACTGAATTCAAGGTGAAAAGCGTTAATAGCACAGAAAGGGTCACCTTCAAATGATAAATATCACAACAGAGATCTAGCCATCAAGAATTTTATGGGCCAACAAACAATACAGCATAGAAATAAACAAAGCAGAGGACTTCCCTGGTGGCACAGTGGTTAAGAATCCACCTGCAAATGCAGGGGACACAGGTTCGAGCCCTGGTCCGGGGAGATCCCTCATGCCACAGAGCAACTAAGCCCATGCACCACAACTACTGAAGCCCGTGTGCCTAGAGCCTGTGCTCTGCAACAAAGAGAAGCCATTGCAACAAGAAGCCCATGCACTGCAATGAAGAGTAGACCCCACTCGCCGCAACTAGAGAAAGCCCGCGCGCAGCAACGAAGACCCAGTGCAGCCAAAAAAAATTAAATAAATAAAATAAAAATAGCTCATGAGTAAAATAAAAGATACTTAGAAATAAATGACAGTGAAAATCTTACAAAAAAAAGTAAAAAGAAAACAAAGCAAAAACTATGGTAAATACAAGTTATAACCTAAAAAACACTGGCAATGAGATACTTGAGCACAACTCTCTAAGTCCTGAACTAATAAATAAAGTACCTTAAAATAAGTAAAAATGTAAGAGAATTTAATGAGCCACAACCTCAGAAGAAATGCTAAAGAACAAAAACAGAAAAAAGAATAGAACTGATAAACAGAATCCATGAGTCAGTTGTTGGAAAAATTAGATAAATCTCTCGCTTCCCTAATTCAGAAAGAGTTAAGAGAAATAAATACAACATAGAGATTAATAAATTTAAAATGTGATTTAAATGGTTACTATAACCCTAGAAGAAAGACACAACTTGTAGAATAATCCATACATTATACTTCGACTAACAATTATTTTTAATAACAACATATTTGCAAATGCATGGATTAAAATCCAGAAAAATAAGTAGTTTAATAGTCGTTATCCCTGTTGGGGGTGGGGAATGTCTGATTATGGGGCATCTTTCCCTAAGTATAAAATACAATTGGGGGCTTCCCTGGTGGCGCAGTGGTTGGGAGTCTGCCTGCCGATGCAAGGGATGCAGGTTTGTGCCCTGGTCCGGGAGGATCCCACGTGCCGCGGAGCGGCTGTGCCCGTGAGCCATGGCCGCTGAGCCTGCACGTCTGGAGCCTGTTGCTCCGTGGTGGGAGAGGCCCCAGCAGTGAGAGGCCCGCGTACCGCAAAAAAAAAACAACAAAAAACAATTGGGACTTCCCTGGTGGTCCAGTGGTTAAGAATCTGCCTTCCAATGCAGGGGATGAGGGTTCGATCCCTAGTCAGGGAACCAAGATCCCACAGGCCTTGGGGCCACTAAGCCCGCACCGCAACTAGAGAAGGCCGAGAGCCACAAGGAAGGCCCAGTGCAGCCAAAAAAAAAAAAAAAAAATTTATATTGAGTGTACAACTTCTGTAATCAGGAGAAAAAAAAAGAGGACTAAAACATGGCACGGGTTCAAACAAACATGCTAAAGTAATTTAAAAAAGGCATTTTAAGCAAGGTTTGAAACATTTTAAGTCAAAATTATATTTCCCTGAGATCAAAGGGAGAAGTGTACTGACATACCTGGATCTGCAGCTAGTTAAATAAAGAATATGTACCCAAGTCAATCGGGAGAGGAATCTACTGTGAAATGCTAAAATCTCAACTCTTAGAAGTTTGTCTAGTGAGAACACAATGTATGCTTACTAAAGCTGCTGATTAGCTGGTAAGGACTAGCTGGTAAAATCGATTGTAGAATAACTAGTTGTTAACAATAGTCAGGACCAAGTTCAAGTACACTTCTGCATTGTTACTATTTGTTCCTACCTTTCTTCTATTTTCTTTACATGACTATGTATGTATTTATGAAACCTATGCAGAAAAATATAAAGGGAAGTGAGATAATAAAACCAACTTTTATCCATGTTATAACTATATTTAAAAGAAAAAGACTATGCATAGAGTCAATGCTTAAAAGGAAATATAGAAAATAAAGTTACTTCTAAGTAGTTAGGATTATAGGTTATTATTTTTGCCTGAAAGTAATTATTGTTACGTTTGTGCAGCAAACACAACACAAGAAAATTATCACACTTACTACACGGAGGTCTTCGATACGTTTTTCAAGAAGGACAGGCAGACCCTCTGGGAGTGTAGGTACCACCTTGGGCATAACTTGAGAGGCATAGGTTGGCTGGGTGGCGTTTCCATTCTCTCCTCCTGACTCAGACAGGGGGCTGCCATTAGAAGCAGCATCCAGTAATCTGTCAAAGTCGAAATCATCTAGCATCTCTAGGGCATTTTCAGCTTCCTGAAATAGTTCATGTTCATTTGTGCTAACAAAAATGGGGAGGTCCGGATCAGCACTATTTAGATTTAAGTCCGAGACATCATTCCCCAATGCCACAGCAGCAGAGGGGGTTTTATGCAGAGAGGAGGTCGAGAAGTTCACTGGGACTTTAGGGTTAGACTCCTTCCTTAATGCATCCTTCTCTTTTTGAAATTTTCTTATCATGGCAGCTAGAGAAAGAGAATCTTTATAACGTTTCTTCTTTTTTTCAGATTTGTGTGAATTTAGAGCCACAACTCTGTGAAGAAAAAAGTGATCAGTTAGGCTATGTATGATTTTAAAGGTTAAAACCCCAATAAGCAGGCACAGAATTAAAATAATCATTTGATAGGTGAGGAAGAAAATTTGTTACTAAATTACACTTTTACAATGGCATCTTCATCATCATCTGGATTGTCAGTTATGAAAGGCAGGTGAATGGCCATTAGAGTGAAGAAAATGAAATAACGTCAACAGAAATAAACAAAACTAAATAGAGCTCTGGTTTATTAAGTATACGAAGTTAGGGAATTCCCTGGCGGTCCATTGGTTAGGACTCCTTACTTTCACTGCCAAGGATGCAGGTTCAATCCCTGGTCGTGCATCTAAGATCCCGCAAGCCCCTCAGCGTGGCCAAAATTAAAAAAAATAAAAGGAAATGAAAGTATACGAAGTTAAACTTACTACTCTGTTTGGAATGTTCATTCTTTAGCACATCTATAAAGTAGGCACCTAAAGAATTAACGAAGTAAAGAAATGCACTTTTGCTGAAAACAGAGTTGATTACAACCAGAGAAACCTACATAATACACCTTCACACTGGTACCCCAGGTGGTTTGTGCTACAAACTGCCAAAGAAATGCAAAATGTCTGTGTCAATCTGTGAGCCTTCATTCATTACCATGTCTTCTATCCAGACCCTATTCTATCTGCTACTACCTTCTGATCATTTTTCACTTTCCATTCTAGGAACAGCGTTCTGAGGCTTTTGGATAGATACGTGTAATTTTCAATGACAACTTTCTCCCTATAGGGACTAAGAGGAAAGGGTGGTCTCTGTTTAGCTATCACCTTCTCTAAAAAATCTTTTCTAAATTTTATGGTTTATATGCTTGTACGTGCACTACAGAACCTAAAAGATTATTAGTGCCTTACAGGTAGGCCAGTGTTTCATTTACTGTTATATATCCAAAACCCAGACAGTGTCTGGTACACAGTAAGCACTTAGTAAATATTTGCTGAATGAAATCAGTTTACAAATTTGAGAAAATGATAAACTCAATAAAAGGCATTACTTACAGTTTTTGTTCATAAAGAAGTTTACTTGTAAATAATGAATATTTAAAACAACCAGTAGTAATATTTTTTTTTCTTAATAATTTCTTAATGACTCAGGGATCACTATAATCTCAGGTTTAGGAGAGGATAAGTACCTCCCTACATCAACTCTGGAGATACTGACAGCCCCAAATTCAGATGTACCTCCTCTGCTAGGGAGGGGAGGAAAACCCAGCCTCTCACAAGTTTTTGTCCCTTGACTCTACCTTGACTCTACAAAAAAAGCCATAGAGAAGTAGAGACAAATGGTAGCTTTATGACTGCAAGGTACAAACTTTTATTCTTATGACTTTTTTTTCTTTTCTTTTTCTTCCTTTCTGTTCGTGGTTGTGCCTCGCGGCTTGCGGGATCTTGGTTCCCCACCAGGGATCAGGAATTTCACCCAGGCCCAGGCAGTGAAAGTGCTGAGTCCTAACCACTGTACCACCAGGGAATTCCCTCTTACGACTTAATAAGGCTTTTGAGAAATTCTACTTGGTTTTTTAGAGGCCATATCATTACCTAAAGTCACAAGCGTTAAGAATAGCTAAGTAAAATCAATGACTTTTAAAAAAATATTAAAACGACCATAAATCGTTTATACAAAGACTACTGCCAATTGTCAATCCCCAGGCATCTAAGCTCAGTTTTAGTACAAGAAAATTAAAATAACATGTTCAATGTTTGTACCATCTTTTCAAACTGGTTCCTGTTGATAAAATGTTGTAATGAGCAAAATACTTAACAAATTTGTAAATCTGATCTAAAACACCTTAATCTCTAAGATGACTTCTACTTATTAATAAATATTATTAAAATATAAGTTGATAAGTCACTGACATTTATAAATACTGTATTAAATTAGACCCAGCTAAGCTGAACTAATTAATGCTAAATATATCTTTCTAAAAGGAGAGTTTGTCATGCTACAACACTAGTTCCCTCATTATGTCTAATTTCACATACCCCAGTTGTTTCGGTACTTTTTTCCTTGGCTTCTTCTCCTTTTCCCCTTCCTCTTTCCGCTTCCGCTTCTTCAACTCAATATCATCTTCTTTCATTTTGGGAATCTACAAAATGATTAAATGCATAACTTACCTAAGTATTGCTGCTTTACTCGCTGATGTTATCAATCCAGCATCCAGGGCAAATGGTTTTTCTCAAATTTCAGGGTGCATAAGAATTGCTTGTTAAAAATGCAGATTCTTTGGGTCCATGAGAACTCCCACCCCTGGTTTTGGTTCAGTTAAAGGTTTGGTAGAGCCTTTTTGTGTTTTTTTTTTGGTTTTTTTTTTTTTTTTGCGGTACGCGGGCCTCTCACTGTCGTGGCCTCTCCCGTTGTGGAGCACAGGCTCCGGACGCGCAGGCTCAGCGGCCGTGGCTCAAGGGCTTAGTTGCTCCGTGGCATGTGGGATCTTCCCGGACCAGGACACAAACCCGTGTCCCCTGCATCGGGCAGGCGGACTCTCAACCACTGCGCCACCAGGGAAGCCCTAATCTGCATTTTTAACAAACATTTTGGTGATTCTGGTACAAATATGTCTTTGGCTCACACTTCAAGGAACGCTTATCTAAGGACATTCTATTAATTTCCCAAATACAATATATATATTCTATAAAATTTGCTTTACATCTTAGGAAAAGTAACAGCTATTAACAGTCATTTCCACATCAAGTCTTAACGTATCCTAAAACCTCAACCTTATCCAGAAACAGATTATTAGACTAGATATGGAGAGAGAAGTTTTAAAAGAAAGTATTATAATTATATTAAAATTATAATAGAATTTTATGATATAAAAATAAATTTCCCCATATCTACATAATTTTACTTTAAAGCATGTAATTAACTATAAATTCATTAAACAATGGTTAGCATTTTACTTTTCCTTATATTCACAGCTGTAAAGTACAAGTAAAAATCAAAAAATATATCCTTTTAATTGAATGCTCTCATTACTGTTGCAATGTCAGATAAACTCACTTTGGGTGGCTTGTGCTTTTGGTTGTCTGTAGTATCTTCTTCTTCAGTATCTGAAGCTTGGCGAAACTGGAGAGTGCCAGTGTTGATATAAAACCCTCCATATTTTGTTGTTAGAGAAGCAGGAACTAATTCGTCATACTAGGTTTAAAAAAAAGGCTTCAGATATATCTTATCTTTAATTCTATAAATATGTCAAAGAAATTCAATCACCATGTCAGAATCTTCCTTAAATCTTAACTGCAAAACTAACTGCAATGAGGATGTTTGTGAATAAATAAAGAAAAAGTTACTATCTGGAATAGAAATGAGCTCTGATCATTCAATATTTAAGAAATGAACTTCTGGAATACTGAAGCAGATTCTAAATATATCATCTGCCGAGAAAAATTGAAGGATCACTGCTATTCTTAATGACAAATGATTCTGATGAGAAATTGAAACAAGTTAAAACAGATGACTGAATGTCCAGGAAGCAAATTAACTTCATTTCTTACCATATTGGTATATAATTTTATTCATAAAGAGATTATAAAAAATAAAAGGTTATTTCTTCTGCCTTAGCTCTAAGCTTTTAAGTAGGGAATATTTTTTAAACATATAAAAGAAAAATAGCATATATATATGTTTTAAAGGGAAGTAGAAAAACAACTGCCCTGTTCGGTAAGCATACACCGAGGGCCCATAATGAGCGAGGCACTTGGCTTCGAAAAAGAGACTCAAATTGTCTAAATCAGTCTGAATGTACTCTAAGCCTAGATTTTAAGGTTTATCATTATCTCACCTGATGAAGATGAAGAAAAAACAATCATTAAATGGAAGGCCAGTCTTAACTAAACGAAGATGTTCATGGCAGAAGAGAAAAAAAGGAACTACTTATCTAACAAAAGCAAGATACCTGCTACCGGGTTCCCCAGAACTCTATTTAAGGGTTTTCTTCATATTACATAATTAGTCTTTAAGAAAGTCATATTTGTAAGGAAAATTCTTTGCCATGGGCAAAAAATATACAGAACATATTAATTATTCTAAAAATATTAAGGCTAAGTACAAAAGTTGTGATTTTAACCTGTATCATTTTAAATTACATGGAAAATGGAAAAAGAAAGAATGTACATTTAATCATATTGAATCAAAAAGGAATGAAGTTAGAAAAAGAAAAAAGGAATGTACTCCTTTCTTGTCGCTCCACTTGAGGGGCTACTACTGTACAAAGACCTACAGGCAAGACCTTCAGAAAGGGCCCAGTACTATCTGCAAGTAAAGGAGTGATGTGAGGAGTAAAGGATTAAAAGTGAAAAGGCTCTGTAGTAATTATTTTGAAAATGTGTCATTTTGATAAGATAAATACACCTGTACTTTTTGCTTACATATACCTGTATACTGCTTTATAATTTTCAATGCTTCTTCATATAAATTATTTCACTTGATCTTCCTGATACCCTTTTGAGGCAAGGAAAATAAATATTCCCATTTTATAAGTGAAAACCAAATTCAGAGAGGTTAAGAACCTTGCCAGAGTACTTTTATTAGTTTATGGCAGAGTCACTGACTGTTTCCCAGCCCATCCACTATACCAAACAGCATCTCATGTGGAAAACACACTCATCACTAGGTTACCAGGCAATGTGGATGTGTTCAATGTCTGTCTTCTTCTGCAGTATTCTGCTGAGCTTTCCCTATCAGAACACTTTTCAGAACAAACTCTTTATGCATATTTGATTTAGCCTTTTTGTTTTTGTTTTTTTTTCAAATTTAACTGGGTAGACTGTAGTTTTATTTGCTAAATCTGGCAACCACACTAAAGTGACACAATCAATAAGTGACAGAGCAAGGATTAATACACAGCCTTCACTGCACTGTGAATTATAAATGTGCCAAGCATTTTTTTTGTAAGGTACAGGAAATATTCTGGGTTTTTTTGTTTGTTTGTTTTTATTGAGGTAATATTGGTTTATAACCTTACATAAGTTTCACATGTACATTATATTTCTACTTCTGTATAATTCAGCTTTTTAAGTACAATGTATTAAGAGGCAATGGATCACTGAACTTGAGAATCAGATTTACTAGATCCTTTGCCAACAACTAGCTATTGTGACCAAGAATAAATCACTTAACATCAATACTTCAGGGTTGTAAAACAGGAACAATATTACTTATTTCACAAAGTTCTAGTGAAATTTAAAAGAGATAACCTAAATAAAAGCATTACTCATGTCTGGTATTATTATTATTTCTCAATAACAAAAACATTTTCTTTCGGTCTTTTAAAAATTTGGCAGCATAAGTGTTAGACTAAAAATAATATTCAAAAGCATTTATTTTCAGATATTATAGTAGTAAGTAGTATACAATTCTGAAAGTTAATTAGAACCAGATTATTATCACTCTCTATCGAATAATATATGAAAAGTGAAAGCCTACTGGTGGGAACTCCCTGGAGGTCCAGTGGTTAGGACTCCACACTTTCACTGCTGAGGGCCCAGGTTCAATCCCTGGTCAGGGAACTAAGATCCCACAGGGCCACAAGGCACGTGGCACAGCAAAAAAAAAAAAAAAAAAAAGGCCAACTGGCAATACAATCATTTTAAAAAACAGAGAATTATTTGGTTGGCTCCTAAGTGTTTTATGTCTGAATTATTGAATTATAATGAGAACCAAATAATCTATTAAGGACAATGATACAAAGTTATTTTGCAAGTCAATAAACAACCTGTGCTTTAGTTCAATTTCCTCGTATAAAACAGGGACCTAACTTGTCCTATAAATGTCAGTAATTGTATAACTTATACAACTTATACCTATAAAATTTATCCTTATTTATTAGAGCAGTGGCTTTCAAATTTTCTTCACCACAACCCAAGTGGAAAATATACTACACATCAAAAGCCAGTGCATGGTACAAACACACACACATAATAAAAATCACATAATGTACCAGTGGTTTACTGTTAATAGCTCCTATTCTATTCTATTTTATTCTCTTTAAAAATGCTGGCCACAGTCTCTAAACTGATACACAGGTCCAATTATGGGTCATAAAAATCTGTTTGAAAAACACTTTATTCAAATATTTGGAATGCTACAAAGGAAAATATTAAAAATGCTATTTATGAAAGGTTACATACTATATGATTCCAACTATATGACATTCTGCAAAGGGCAAAACTATGGAGACAATAAAAAGATTAGTGGCTGCAGGTGTTAGGGAGGGATGAATAGGCAGAGCACATACTTTTTTAGGGCTGTGAAACTATGCTGTATGACAGTATAATGGTGGGCACATGTCATTACACATTTGTTAAAACCCATAGAATGTACAACACCAAGAGTAAATCCTAAGGTAAACTATGCACTTTGGGTGATGATGCGTCAATGTAGGTTCTTGGACTGTAACTAGTATACCACTCTGGTGGGGGAACGCTGATAATGGAAGCTGTGTTGTGAGGGCAGGTAGTATATGGGAAATTTCTGCACCTTCCATTCAATTTTGCTGTGAACCTAAAACTGCTCTAAAAAAATTAACTTTACTAATTTTAAAAAAAATATTTATTTATTTATTTATTTGGCTGCACGGAGTCTTAGCTGCGGCATGTGGGATCTTTTCTTTTTTTTAGTTCAGCATGCAGGATCCCTAGTTCCTTGACCAGGGATTGAATACAGGCACCCTGCATTGGGAGTGCAGAGTCTTAACCACTGGATCACCAGGAAGTCCCAAGTTTATTAATTTTTTAAAAATTCTATTTATGTAAACCTGAGTACATGGAATGTCCATTTATATATGGTTGAGTTCCCTCTTGGGTTACTTAGAATTCAAAAATCTACTTTACATATAATGTTAACACCAGTACCAATGCTTTATACTTGCATTATGCTTTTCAGCATGTCATTATCTTGAGTCTCAGAGTACAAATTCTGCTGGGCAAGCCACTCATAACAGAGAAAACTGGGTGATGCTAAAATAAAAGACTTGCTCCTGGTCCACAGTGAATTAGAAACCAAGTGAGGTCTAGAATCTAGGACTTTTGACTTGAATGCCAAATCAAGGTCAATACTGTTGAAAACATTCCATGCCCTAACCTACAAAAAGGCTGACAAACATTTTTGGTAACAGGAAATCCTCTCTACTCCAAAGGCACTGTCAACATTTTATTTCTACAGACTAGGCTTGTAAACCAGTTTATATCAGGACACCAAAATAACACAGGAGTATGACAGGGTATCTTGTACACCTTATGCTGGAAGTCCTTCCTATCACTCTCTTACCACTATATGCCTTGTCATCATCTACACAACCAAGCACTGTAGTAACAGGAAAGAGAGGTACTAATTTGTAGGTAGTATAACAGCGGCCTTAGGGTCACTTTCTGTATATCCTAAGTAATCACTGAACACTGCAGAGGATATAATCCAGGGATTAGATTACTCTACTACACTGAGAAGAATGTAAGAACATATACCTTACCGACCCACCTAACAAGACATGCCTTTATTTATTTGCTGTGTGATCAACGGACTGCTGTAGTCCTGAAATGCTCTCCTGAATTCCTCTTCCTTTTATAAGAGAAAGAGGATTCCAATGCAAAAGCTGTAGGGCTTGATCAAAACAGACAGTGATAAGGCCTGGCATTCAATTACCGCCACTGTAGTAAGGTTTGGCAGCAATAAAAATATTAAGTACATTTTAAAGACATCTGCCAGATTAACTTCAACCCAATAGCTCCAGTCTTCAAGATTACGTGGTTCTTATCTGGAAGTCATTTCAAAAATATACCTGCTCAAGTTTGGGAATATCAATAAAAATTCAAGATGTAAATACCCTTTGATCAATAAATCCCACTGCTAGAAATTTACCCTACACATGTATTTATACTCTATAATTATCTTACATACATACTCAAGTACACAAAGAGAAATGTATACAGATGCTCAACTATTTGTAATCACATAAAACTGGAAACAATTTAGATGTATACTGAAAGGGGATTAGTTAGTAAAAACACTTGCTGAAACATTTAGTTTTTCCTTGAATTCTACTATCCAAATAAAGAATTGCTGCTATATTAAAGATACATTACTCACAGCCTCTGAATTATCAATAAATGGATCTGTCTCATCATAGCCAAAGCCTATATCGATTAAATCTTGTAGCCGATCCTTCCGGTGTTTACGGGGCTTCCCACCCTGTGAAGAACAGATATGTTAGACTGATTCAGTACTCATGCTGTTTCCATAAAATTAAAAAACACCTGTTAGAAAATAAACAAATCGGACCTAATGAAACTTAAAAGCTTTTGCACGGCAAAGGAAACCGTAAAGAAGATGAAAAGACAACCCTCAGAATGGGAGAAAATATTTGCAAATGAAGCAACTGACAAAGGATCAATCTCCAAAATATTCAAGCAGCTCATGCAGCTCAATATCAAAAAAAACAAACAACCCAATCCAAAAACGGGCATAAGACCTAAATAGACATTTCTCCAAAGAAGATATACAGATTGCCAACAAACACATGAAAGAATGCTCAACATCATTAATCATTAGAGAAATGCAAATCAAAACTACAATGAGATATCATCTCACACCAGTCAGAATGGCCATCTTCAAAAAATCTAGAAACAATAAATGCTGGAGAGGGTGTGGAGAAAAGGGAACCCTCTTGCACTGCTGGTGGGAATGTAAAGTGATACAGCCACTATGGAGAACAGTACAGAGGTTCCTTAAAAAACTACAAATAGAACTACCATATGACCCAGCAATCCCACTACTGGGCATATACCCTGAGAAAACCATAACTGAAGAAGAGACACGTACCACAATGTTCATTGCAGCTCTATTTACAATAGCCAGGACATGGAAGCAACCTAAGTGTCCATCGACAGATGAATGGATAAAGAAGATGTGGCACATACATACAACGGAATATTACTCAGCCATAAAAAGAAATGAAATTGAACTATTTGTAGTGAGGTGGATGGACCTAGAGCCTGTCATACAGGGTGAAGTAAGTCAGAAAGAGAAAAACAAACACCATATGCTAACACATATATACGGAATCTAAAAAAAAAATGGTTCTGAAGAACTTAGGGGTAGGACAGGAATAAAGACACAGACCTAGAGAACAGACTTGAGGACACGGGGAAGGGGAAGGGTAAGCTGGGATGAAGTGAGAGAGTGGCATGGGCATATATACACTATCAAATGTAAAATAGCTAGTGGGAAGCAGCCGCATAGCACAGGGAGATCAGCTCGGTGCTTTGTGACCACCTAGAGGGGTGGGATAAGAAGGGTGGGAGGGAGACGCAAGAGGGAGGAGATATGGGGATATATGTATATATATAGCTGATTCACTTTGTTATACAGCAGAAACTAACACAACGTTGTAAAGCAATTATACTCCAATAAAGATGTTAAAAATAAATAAATAAATAAACTAAGAACAACAACAAAAAACCTGTTAGAAGAATTTCCAAATGATTTCTGCAGATTAATTCCCCTCAGGAGGTTGAATTTAAGTCCCCTCACACCTTGAATGTAAGTTGTACCTAGGGACTTGCTCCCAAAGAGTACAGTATGACAAGGAGGAGACAAAGTAACTTTACAGTGAAAAACCTAACATTACTCAGCCAGGTGATCAAGGTCGACATCAACAGTGATAACGTCATGTTGACAGCATCACCCTTGACATGAGGAGACACAAATGGCACTTTACCTTTGTGGTCTTCCTCTCAAAAGCCTATAACCTCAGTTGTAGGCTAACCACGAGATAAACATCATGACAAGCTAAACAACAAGAAAAACACCAAACTAAACTGAGGGACATTCTACAAATAACTGACCAGTATTCCTCAAAGCTGTCAAGATTATCAAAAACAAAAATCTGAAAAACTGGCATAGTCTAGATAAGCCTAAAGAGACATAATAACTAAATGTCATCTGGTATCCTGGTTGGGATCCGGGGACTAAAAAAGGACATTAGCGGAAAAATAGTAAAATTTGAATAAAATGCAGCGTTAATTAATAGTAATGAACCAATATTGGTTTGTTAGTTGTAACAAATCTACTCTACAAATATAAGATGTTACAGGGGAAAGTGGATGAGAACTATATGGAAACTCTTTGTATTTTCTTTGCAAATTTTCTGTAAATCCAAACTAATCTTAAAATTATTTTTTTAATGTTCTAGATTTATTTATACACATAGACATACAAGAAAATAAAAAATGACTGTTTGCAAAAACTGGTGAAATCTGCAAGACATGACTCTCCTTTGGTTTCAATTCCCATAGTGCATGTCTCTCAATGCAGTGTCACTGGTTCTAATTGGTGAAAGATGGCTGAGTTTTGTGCAACATGGCTCTTAAATGAAAGCAAATTGTTTCATCTTATTTCCACGTAAAGAAATGATCTTTTCCAGTGTTTACGTGAAAAAAACAAATATGATGGACTTACTGAGAAAAGTCTCCAACATGGTACCATTTACTTTCTAATTAATTTGTAAAGGTAATTCTGACTAAATGCTATGTTTGTATTGCATACTGATGTTAAAAAACCTAATCCCCATAACTATGACTCCAGTTTATGTTTTTCAATGACCAAAACTTCTATTATACCATCACCACCAAGAGGGTCATTTCGGTGTGAGATAAAGTAATGGCTCTCATGTTTTTAGATTTTACAAGTTCCAAAAACAATTTTGGAGACCAACACAGGGTGGCAACCCTTTTATTTTGCTAAATAAGACCACTGAAGGCATAATCTCAGAATAAGAACAATTCTTCTCAAGAGACACCAACTGGCAACTTAAACATACCTACACACACATACACACATGTGCACACACACAAAATGCATGTATATGCTTAAATGCAACACATAAATAAAGTGTCCTTATTTTTTCCATATGCTAGGTCTGCAAGCTGGAACTCTTACACTAGGTTACAGAATTACAGTGAGAATAAGAAGTAAGTAAAGGAAAAAGATATTTGTATGTTAGAAGTTATTCTACCAAGAAAAAGTAACACACAAGCAGTTAAACACACGAGGGAAAGTTTCACCCAAAAAAGAGAGAGAGAGTTCTAATAATATAAAAATCCACAGACAAAAACTAATGAGGAGGACTAGCCCTGTCACATATTAAATATATTTAAAGTTATAGGAGTTAAAATAGATATGACAGGAATACAAGAATGAATTTAATATGAAAAAGGCAACAATACAGCTCAATGGAGAGCAATTAATAAATAAATGGAATTAAAGTAAGACACCAATTTCATCTATCAAATTATAAACTTTTAAAATTCTGGCAAGATGGAGAAGAAACAGGACTGCTCAAACACTGCTGATAAGAGTATACCAATAAAACTCTTGGAAAGCGATCTGAAAGCATCTGCCAAGAAATTCTGCCATACACTTACATTTTCTTCTTTTGTCTCTACTATGTTTTCTAAAATTTCTATGAAGTATTAATGCCAAAATGGAAATATACTAAAATAAGTTTTAAAACTCTTCATCATATTTGACTCAATAATTCTACTAAGTTACATAGCTTATTTTGAACTATTACTTAGATTCAAAAGTATCTGTTAAAAATGTATGCTATAGGGCTTCCCTGGCGGCGCAGTGGTTGAGAGTCCGCCTGCAGATGCAGGGGACACGGGTTCGTGCCCTCGTCCAGGAAGATCCCACATGCTGCAGAGCAGCTGGGCCCGTGAGCCATGGCCGCTGAGCTTGTGCGTCCGGAGCCTGTGCTCCACAACAGGAGAGGCCACAACAGTGAGAGGCCTGCGTACCGCAAAAAAAAAAAAAAAAAAAAAAATGTATGCTATAGGGACTTCCATGGTGGTCCGGTGGTTAAGTCTCCATGCTCCCAATGCAGGGGGCCTGGGTTTGATACCTGGTCAGGGAATTAGATCCCTCATGCCACAACTAAGAGCCCGCATGCTGCAACTAAAAGATCCTGCATGCCACAACTAACACCCAGCCAAATAAATTTTTTTAAAAAATGTATGCTGTAAAAAGCAATATGTGTAATCTACAGATTCAACACAATCCTTATCAAATTAGAACAAAAAATTTTACAATTTGTATGGAAGCACAAAAGGCTCCAAAAAGCCAAAGCAATCTTGAGAAAAATGGAGCTGGAGGAATCAGGCTCCCTGACTGCAGACTGTACTACAAAGCTGCAGTTGTAAAAGCAGTATGGTACTGGCACAAAAACAGAAATAAAGATCAATGGAACAGGATAGAAAGTCCAGAGATAAACCCATGCACCTATGACAAAGGAGGCAAGAATACAGAATGGAGAAAAGACAGTCTTTTCAATAAGTGGTACTGAGAAAACTGGACAGCTACATGTAAAAGAATGAAATTAGAACATTTTCTAACACAATACACAAAAAAAACCTCAAAATGGATTAAAGACCCAAACGTAAGACTGGATACTATAAAACTCTCAGATGAAAACATAGGCAGAACACTCTCTGACATAAATCTCAGCAAAAACTTTTTGATCCACCTCCTAGAGTAATGAAAATAAAAACAAAAATAAACAAATGGGACCTAACTAAACTTAAAAGCTTTTGCACAGCAAAGGAAACCACAAACAAGATGAAACGACAACCCTCAGAATGGGAGAAAATATTTGCAAATGAAGCAACTGATGAAGGATTAATCTCCAAAATATACAGACAGCTCATGCAGCTCAATATCAAAAAAACCAAACAACCCAATCAAAAAATTGGCAGAAGATCTAAATATTTCTCCAAAGAAGACATACAGATGGTCAAGACGCACATGAAAAGATGCTCAACATCACTAATTATCAGAGAAATGCAAATCAAAACTACAATGAGGCATCACTTCACACCAGTCAGAATGGCCATCATCAAAAAATCTACAAACAATAAATGCTGGAGAGGCTGTGGAGAAAAGGGAACCCTCCTACACTGTTGGTGGGAATGTAAATTGGTAGAGCCACCATGGAGAACAGTATGGAGGTTCCTTAAAAAACTAAAAATAGAGCTACAATATGATCCAGCAATCCCACTCCTGGGCATATCTACGGAGAAAACCATAATCTGAAAAGATACATGCACCCCAATGTTCACTGCAGCACTATTTACAATAGCCAGGACATGGAAGCAACCTAAATGTCCACTGACAGAGGAATGGATAAAGAAGAT